TTCTATCAGAAAAATAATCTTCTTCCATCACAAAAGATCCCGACCAACATCTGAAGACACCAACACCTCAAAATTCAACCTGAACACTTCAGGAAAGATGACCTGAACAAGCAGAGGAATCTCCAAGACTACTTTTATTTAAACAGTCCCTTGTAGCTGACTGTCATTTCACCCGATCTGTTGGCCAAGGAGTCACCACTGAGGCCGTAATTAACCTTTGTAAACGGAAACTTCCCTTGAAGCTACCGTTCCAGGCCGAAGGAAGCTCTTCGATTCCCAACTCCAGCTTTACGTTGGGTGTCTCTCCCTTCCCGTGTCCTTGACCCGAGTCAGAAGATACTTTCTACAGTGGTAATTTTGTTAGAGAGAAGCTTATTAAGTGAAATGACTTAAGGGTATCCCTGTCACTGAGCCAAAGCCTCGAATCCCCACGCCGAAATGGGGTTATCATTCACACTACACCTTTGTGCTGTCTCACACATTAGTCACATCGTAAATGGCTTAGGTGACCCTAAAACTCCCGATGACTCAGTGCCTTACCTCAGAATCACGGGGATAAGACACTTGGGTGATTTATTGATATATACGTAAGTATATATTCATCTATGAAGCTATAAAGGAACACGGTTTCAGAAGACGGCAGCTCCCTGGCAAAGCAAACTGGACTCCAGATGCTTTCCTGGCACAACTGGGAATGAAGTGGCAGCTCATCTGCAGTTCTGGCGTTTTCAGACTAAATCCCGCAAGCAACTTAAGCTCTTCCTATCCGGTGCCTTGATAAACTCAACTCCAAGCCATCGTTTCACAATAATTTTCAGTTTACTGTTTGACAACATGGGAAAAAAAACACCCAAACCGAACAAGTATTGATGTTGTCCCTTCTCTAAAGTTCACGCGCTGCACAAATAGCAACTTTAGACCCACTTTTATAACCAAAGGATTCACCTAGCCAAAGCAACGAGCTACAGGGCCTATTTGTGCTGGAAAAGCAATGGCTGAGGCAACGGGTGAGATCTGCAAAGGTTCAGAACAAGACGAATACCCACGAGATCGGTGCTGACAGCAGAAGCGCCTACAAAAAGTGTATTTGACAAAACATCACAACCAAGTTGAGCCTATAGATGGGTCTACCTCTCGAAAAGGAAGCCCATGGTTCTTTTTGCCACGAACTAACCATGGTAATACTGCAAAATGAAGAGCTGCTAAGCAGCTTAGCTGCATGCGTATCTGATCAGGTGGACACCCGATTACATAAAGCCAGGCAGGCTGCGTTTTGCTGCTGGAAAGATTAGGCTAACGCCATTTGCAGGACATGAATATTTGCAGCACTGGCCTCGAGTCTGAAGGTAACTTTTTACAGTGACACTTACATGTGGGGCAAAAAGATAAATTTGGAAAAGTTACACGGGGGCTTAGATGTTTAAAGGCTCTGGCTGCGCGGGCTGAAAGCCAATGGCACCAAGTGGGACTGCGCGTAAGGAACAGACACCCGAGGAATTGCTTCAATTTGCAAAATAAAAGCAGTTATGAGAAGCTGAAATGCCAGAGTGTGGAAAAACAAGAGGTAAAAGGGTTCTTGTTGTAACAGAATTAGGAAACTCAATACTCCTCTTGCATTTTACCTGGAAAACATCGCTATTATGGCGCAAGTGCATTTGTAGAAGCAGATGCTACAGTCAAAATTAGTTATTTTTACAAGATTTCATCCGTATGCCTCCGAAAGGTTGGCACCGAGGGAAAAAACAGTCAATATTTTTACAGGAACATTTCTACAGAAAAGAATGCAGCTGATACGCAGAAGAGAAACCCTACCTTAAACCTTCCTTGCGTTAAACAATCTTGAAGAATGGCCAATATGTAATAATAATAAAAAGACTGCATCCATCTACAGCCAGGTATAGAAGATTTCTACCAATCCTCAGGAGTTGTCATGAATATATTCACAGAAATGCTTAACCCAATGCACAGACATGGTAATGCCTAAATACCCCGCCAGAGTGGCCTTAAGTAGTGCCCATTAAGGGCAAGAACAGAAGGCCTCCTAAGAGCAGCGGGTACCTTCTCGCAGCATCCTTAATGCAGCAATTCCAGAGCCTCCCTGCAACGTCTGGATTGTTTTAATTCTCCTTACGCGCATCTATGCCTCAAAAAACCTCTTTTCTTCAGGCTTCAAAAAGGCCTGAGACTCAACTGCTCGCGCACGAGAGCTTAAGGGATTTCCTAACGCTTCCCGGGAAGGTGAGTCGGGAAAAGGGAAAGCAGAGGCCGTGTAGGCAAGGCTGGAATTTTCCCGAGCCGCTTCTGCTCAGGACTCGAGCACAGAAGTGGAAATTTCCCCTAGGTGGAGTTCTTTGTTCAATGCAGCAGGCAATTAGAAGTCCCCAAGGTCTGCAGAAATGGCACAAGAGCGATGCTTCGGGTGGGGAAAATCCAACTGTACCAGACGACAGCGACGACACGAGCTGCCCAAGTCGGCTCCAAAGGTAGCGCCCCAAATCCCGGCCGTCCGAAACGGACGGGCACTAGAGAGCTTGGCAAAAAGGCCACTAAAACAAATATGATTTCAATCGCATCTGGGGCCTGCTCGGCCTCAGATTTGATTACACAAAAAGGTCAAGCGATAAAAAAGAAAGTTTGCGTCTTTAGAGGCCTCGAGGGCACGGCACAAGCAGTTTATCATCGGAACACAGATCAAATTAGAAGAGATTATTTGCTTTTTGCAGTGTCCTATTTGTAGCTCTTACAGCCTCACAAGCAAAACACGGGGACCACTGAATTCAGATATAACCTTAGGACATCCATCACTGGGGAGAAAAGAATCATTAACCGCTGGTCCGAGGGCTTTTCTAGGCTCTCATTTGCAAATTTGTTTGGAAGAAACATAGTCCAAGCTTATCTGCCATCGCCACATGACAGCTGAGGGGGGGAACCAGTGACAAGCCCTTGGGAACGCCCTTTTCCACCAAAAGGTTTATAGAGAAATAACCAAAAAAAAAAAAAAGAAAAAATAACCCAGGCCACTCCCTGCCCCTGCGAGCAGAGTAAGAAAAACAAATTGTAGGAGATAAGAAGATTACTGGGTGTTCTAGGGACAAGGACTGGGAGCTAAGATAATCAAGTGAAAGAAAATCCACCTAATGGGACCACGCCAATTCCACTAAACTAATAAATGCAGACATTGCTATGCGTTTTTCTGAGCTCTGGGACAGTTTAAAGTGTCATCTTCACTATTAAAAAACTCATTCCCTTATGTATTTTTCTTCATATTTCCTGATATCACCGATGATCACAGTTAAAAGGAGCAGTAACCGTTTCATTCCCGGAGCTTTGCAGCCTGATGCTGCTCTGGAGAAACCTCAACAGCACTAAATAAACCCTGCGGCTCCCCATGACAAGACAATAGCAGAGGATGCAGCACTAAAATAAAAATTATTTGAGTTTTTCGGATTTTCAGGGACTTGTTTTTCAGGGAGGAGGTCTGCATTTTATAACACAAGGCCAGGACCAACGCCAGCTTCCAGGAGGGATGCGAACAGCAGTTGAATTTGTCTCGGATGTGACAGAGGAAGTGACCTAGAGCTGGGAGAGTTTCTAAGCAGGTGCAAGAGATTAGATTAATGTGGCCAGGAAGGTCCTTTACCACCAAGTAACCTGATCTTGGCATTAGCTCAGCCTTACCAAGTCCTCAGTTATGTTTCTGGCAAAATAACCTCAGGTCAAGCTCTTCTGGTAGACGTTTATGGTCACATTCCCTTAATTTATAGGGATTTAATTGAAAGACTGGCACAAAGTGGGTGGAATAGCATTCCTTAATAGCAGCTGAATAAGCAGGCAGCGAAAGAAGTCATCGACTGGACCGATTTCACTGAACGTTTCATCTATTTCATCTATTAGAAATGCTAAAGGACCGTGTTTATTGTCATTTAGTAATTACAGGCGGCTTAGGGCTTCAGACTTTGGTATCACGCTGAGGTAGCTGTTCTGCCCAACCAAGCTAATTAAATCCCCCTGCAAACCAGCAAATCACACCGTTCACAAGCAGCTTCAAGTCTGGTCTTTGCCCAACTCTCGGACACTCATCCATACGAGACAGATGCAGCAGTTTGGGTCCAGCCAAGGTCCAGGCTTGGATTATTAAACGCTACTTATCCTCAGCGCTGGAAGCTCGGCACGAACTTTGCTCTTTGACCATAACCGGTGGGTTCCAGCACCAAGGTTTTAATTGCCAGGATCTTTTGCTACCTGCCTTCTTATACACTAAGACGAAGTTGCCTGAAGCAGCAAGTTCCTCACCACCATTTCTTAATAGGAATCGTGACAGTTGGGCGATTTCTATACATTAAATACACTGGCTAACGTAACAGTTGGAAATGAGAGGTTTATTCGGGGCATATCGAGCAGGGAGCAGCCAAATGGATCCGCCTGGGCGAGGTTTTCCCTCTGAATCCCCCTCTCCGCTGCTCTCCCGAGCTTCTAGAGCAATCTGGAGCGCAGGGCGCCTGCGACGGTGCCAAGAATGCAGAGCTCGGGCCCTGGGAAGGCAGGTACCTCTGGGAAACCAATAAACCCCAATCTTTGCCCAAAAAAGCGGTCCGTAGGAGGGATTTACCAAGGGCAAAGTGGGAAAGACCCCCCAAAAAAGGCTTCTGGGGGGATTTTATATTCTTTTTGGGGGCAGGAGCGGCTCCATCGGCTCTTGGCCGTTGGGTAAAGCCACCTTGGCCGCGCACCTCGCGGCTCTGCAGGCGCCGGGGGGCGACACCAGCCCCCGCCGCTCCTTCCTCCCCCTCGGGAAGAGGAGGAGGAGGCGCAGCCCGGGAAGATGGCGAAGGAGAGGAGCCCCCGCTCCGCTCCCGCCGCACGGTGCCCGGAGAACAAGGTGACCGTTGGCGCTCCAACGGCCGCGCCAACGGTCACTCGCAACGGCCGCTCCCGCAACGGTCGCGCCCCAACGGCCGCCCGCCCGCCCGCAGCGGCGCCCCGCGGCCGGCCAGACGTACCTCGATGTATCCGGCGAGCGCGGGCGCCGGGGCGGCGAGCGCCAGGAGGAGCAGCAGCGGGAAGCGCAGCGCCGAGCCCATGGCCGCCGCCATCCGCCACCGCCGCCGCCCAAAGCGCTACTGCGGCCTCGGCGCCGCGCCGGGAGCCGCCTCGACAAGCCCCGCCCCCGCGGCCCGCCCCGCGCCCAATCAGAGCCCGCCTCGGGAGGAGGGGCCAATGGCGGGAGAAGCCACGCCCCCCGCCCCCGCGCCGGCCAATGCGCGCGGCGCCGGCGGCTCCGCCCACGGGCGCCTGGTGGGAAATGGCGGCCGGGCCGCGGCGGGAGAGAAAGGATCAGGCGGCGGCTTTTTGGGGTGAAAAAATCACCTTTCGGGGAGTTTTTTCGTCCCCTTTTGGGGATAAAGAGCCACGCTAAAACCTCAGGGCACAGAGGAGCCCCATGGGGCTATATGGGGACATATGAACTAAAAATCCCCTTTCACACCCCCACATTTGTAAGTTTTAGGGGCTAAAAGGCTGAGGGAAACCTTTTTATTATTATCATTATTATTATTTTCGCCTTATTTCTGGACCTAAGGGTGACAATGTGTTCCTGTCAACCCAAAGACCACCTCTATTAAAGCACCCATCACTAAAATCATCCACCAGTTCCAGTGTTTTCCCTCACTCTTTCCACCTTTTCCCCTGCAAAAAAAAATCAAAAATTCCTACAAACCACACTTTTTTTAATAATAAAGGTCATCAATCTCTTTGGGATTGTCATGAAAGTCATTTTACAGACACGTGTAGATAGTCATTTCCTTTTCGCATGAAAATACTCTTTTTTTTTTAAACACAAGTGGTGGGGAAAGACCCTTGCACAAAACGTCACGTAGTTATTAAGCATTTTCACTCCAACTTCCCCATTTGTTAGTGTTTAATAAGTGCTACGTTCTGAAACAGCAGACGGGAATATCGCTGGAGTGTTGAAACGGGGATAAATCCACACTGTAGATCAATAAGTAGCCCCATTTTAATTAAAACTGCCACCTGGTTCACTGGGCACTTATTGCAGGCTCCCTTTCCATAGTATTCAAAAGCCTTTTAAATCTCTTTTAATACAGTCCTCTGGCATGTGTAATTTTCTTCTCTGCTTGGCCAAATTCAGCTGGAAAATTGATTCAAGGAGGGTTTTTGAAGACTGGTACATTTTAATGTAAATATTTTATTGAGCAATAGGCATATACAAGTAAATAACTGAGCATATTCCACGTTAAGCTGCTTAAAACATATAAGGATATTTTCTCCCTCTTCAGGCCAAAAATCACAAGCTGTTTATAAATCCTGGGATAGAGCAGTGCAGTTGAAGGTATTTTGAAGTAGTACATAAGTTAATATACTTAATATTTACATAATGCTTGGTGAGTATCAGCTCGTGTTCACAGCTCCTCTGGGAGGCCATGCATTTTGTCCCACGCAAAAAGCTGAAAATAAAATTTGTTTCCTAAGGGCTTGTTCAAGTTTGGGGGGAAAGCAGAAAGTGAAGGAATGAGGTGCCCGTTACTGAGTAGCTCTTGATATCGAGCCACAAACATCTCAAGTACAGAGCAAAGCAAATTATAAGGGCCTTCCTGAGGCTGAATTTCCCTGGACACACAGCACTGCTGCCAGATCTGTAGTAAAACTAGGCAAATAGACACCCATTCCAAGTCTATTACCTATAATTTATATTTTATAATAGAAGCTGTTAGCACAGGGTAGGTAGAAGTCAGTGGCTAGGGTATGGTTGGCACCAATACAGCCACCAAAGAGAGGCAAAAGTGAAGACATTACATAGGAAAAAGGGACAAGGACCCCACGCATTGGAAAAATAAACAGCACAGGCAGCAGTTTCGAAAAAAATAGACTTTTACTGGAAAGCAATAAAGCTCAGGAGAGTGAGAGGATGGAGAGGAAATCAGAGCAGATGTGCTGCAAGTGCAGCTGTACTTAAAAACTAAACGTAGTAATTGCAGACATGAGGAAAGGCAGCACAGGAACATGTGGGAGAAAAAGTAATACAGCAAGTGGTAGCAGATGACTTTTTGTGGATAGAAACAAGCCTTTGTTTCCGCTCACAAATGCATTTAAAGAGCCTGACAGGGAAGGCAGGACAAGTCTAGCCTGCTCTGTCTCAAAAAGCCCTTGACTCCTGAAGGCCTTTTTTCCTGCTGATCTCTTCTGGGTACCATCATTTTGGCTTTCACAGTGACATCATGAAGGCATTTTTGAGATTTCTTTTGGAGAAAGTCAGCAGTTTCTCCTTCTCTAAGCTGAAGACAAAGCTTATCATCACAGGGGATTTAACAGGATGATTCACTGGTTTGAAGAGGAAGATTGCCCAAGACAAAAGCAGCAGCTGAAGGATGCACACCTTGCTGCTTGGAACAAGCCTGCACATCTGTTGGATTCATCGTGCAGGAAAGGCCATCATCCCACCCCTGTCTCAGTTGGGTGATGAACCCAAGGACAGACAGTTAGCAAGCTAAAAGCAGAAACAGGGAACCTGGCCACCTTTTTAAGCTAACCAGTAGTGTTTAACATATACAAACCCGATCTAACACTGCTCCTTTTGGGCTCCAGACCTGTCCATGACTGGCAGGATCTCCAAAGGCCATAACAAGCACCAGACCCAACACCTAGAACTCAAAGCTCAGGTTCTGGAAACACAACACGAACCAAGGAACAACACTAGAGAGGGGAAAGGAGGGGCAACATTGCAAAAGATGAATTCTCACCCTTTTGGACCCTCACACCTTCCTACGATGGGAAGGAGGTTTCCTGCCACCCTTGTCTCCTCCATCTGCTCATGAAGATGGAAATGTCATTTAGTCTCTGCAAACAGTGCCATCAGTTGTTCACATAAAGGCCAAAGAAACCATTTCAATGGAAATGGAGTAACACAGGTTGTGCTAGAGATCATATGAAGCTGAAAAAGAACATTTTTTAAATCAGCTGAGCATATTTTGCACAGATGTAGGCTCATTTCAGAGCTGGGAGGTCCATTGTCCTTGGACATTTCTTCTCCCCGCATTTGCTTGCCAGTTTTGCTCAGACCAGGCTTGTTATAGTGCTGGGAAAGGTAATTCATTTTGTAGAGGTCTTTCAAATGAGAAATCCAAATGCAAATATTATTAGCCACAATTCCAGAGAAGACAGTATTATTGCATCTTATATATTAGAAGCTAATTTGTCCCACAAATGTGGGAAATATTACCTGTTTAATGGCATCACATATAGCAAGGATTAAGCACTGATGCCAGGGAGCTGCTTCAGAGGAACAATTAACTTTTCCACTGTATTTTTGTCCTGTGCAGTAAGGAAACGTGAAGCTGGAAATAAAAAGGACTTATGTTTCTGGCAAGCAAAGGACATCTGATCCATGACCAACTTCTCCATTGCCGAACTACCCCCCAAATCATTTTACCAAATGACACTGCAACAAACACCACAGACGACAAGAAAACCTCAGGACGTGTCCCACTGAATAAGCACAGAATCATTTGCAGCAGCTTTGAGGATAAGGGCAATTTCCACAGCAAAAATCCCACCCCTCCCTCCACCCAGAGACCTGATTCAGCGCCAGTTGGAGCAGGCAGCAGGGACTAACCTGTGCTCACAGGCTGTTTTACAGCACCCTGAACTCACCTCTTGGTTTTCCCCGTCACTTGTTTGTGCACTTACTCAGTCTGCAAGCACCAGGGTGTGTTAAGCAGCACTGCACGACACAGCAACAGCCAATAAGGAATTTTCCAAGTCTAGCACACATCCTGTGCCCAAAGCCTTTATTTATTGCTAGGGACTGCTCTTTTGGGGCAGCAGCACGATACTTTCAAGCACTCATTTGACTGCTGCACTTAAAAACAAAGTAATCCCTCAAAAAAGAGCCTCCCTTATTTGCTTGTGCTGGGTATCAGCATAGATGCCTGCTGTCAGGATGACTCTAAACAAACATCAGGATATATTTCCTGTTAGAGTCATCATTAGGTGTCTCACAGCTTTCAAGGACCACAGAAATATTGCTCTTCCTTGGAAAAAAAAGCCTTTTCTTTCTGAAAACCTTGGAGGCAAGAGAGTCATGCCTAAGGTAGCACAGAGAAGAGGACATAGAGGCTTCAGCTTCCAGTTTTGGCCACCAGGTCACATTTTGGAAAGGAGCCAAAAGTCTTGTGCTAATTTGCAGTCTAATCTTCAGCCAGCAGCTAGCAGGGAAGTGGGTGGATTTGGGAATTCCCAGCTAGAACTCAGATCTCGCTCTGTACCTGGGGTTGGATATACTTCCTGAATACATATCCAGCCCAAATACCAAGTACTCCAGCACCATTATCTATGCTATTTTTTGAAGAGAGGCTTCATGTTTTGCACTGGATTCCATAACCTTTAAAAGATGCTGTTCTTTGGAGGATTGGAAGATACTAAGATGCAGCTGTACTTCAGCAGCCTTGAGATTTCAGTCTTTACACTCTCTGGACAATAAGAGAAGAAAAGCGCGTGTTTGAAGTCTGCTTTGGTTGAATCAAGCCAGCAAGACTCAGTTGGGAGGAACTGTGGCTTTTGGAGGGGGCTGCCCACAGCTTCCACCCCCAAACCTATGGCCCAAGGGGGAGAGCAGCCCACTTGGCTTCCTTGACTCACAGTCTTGCAGAAGATGAGTCAGCCCTCAGGAGATCTTCCTCTCAACGAAGCCCAGAAGCCCACGTCACTCCTGCAACTTCTCTGTGCCTGTCTTGAAAAGGACCGAATTAAAAACTAGTCTTTAATTCACAGCTTCTTACTATGACAGTCTCTCACGCACTGGAGGAGGGAGCAGCCCTGTGATGCAGCCATCCTGGATCAAAGGTTGAAGGTCCTTTCTTCTCCCTCCAACCCCACTTCACAAAGAAAACACCCATTCACAGCTCCCTGTCACAGAGCTACCAGCATATCCTGCTTTTTATAAGGCAAATTACAAGGTTTAGGCTTAGCCAAGGCTTTCCTGACCCCAGTCATTTGGTTGACTCCCTAAGGCTTCCACCAAAGTGGAGCTCACTGGCTAAATTATATAAAGGAAGCCTAAAGCAGGGCACTCCATCGAGGTTTAAGTTTTCTCTTTAAAATGCAAATGGCTGGTAGCTAATTCCCTCTGGAGACTTAACAGCTGAATTTAAAATGAAAAATGAGGCTAGAAAAATATACTTCAGAAAGCATCGGGGTATGAGGAACATCACACTTGCTACAGGGATTCAGATTCCTCTGGTCCAACTGACATTTTCATTGAGCTGCATTTTAATAATTTCACTCAAAACTGCTTTTGGTGACGCTCTTCCTTCGCCTGCAACAGGGTGCAATCGGAGCAGAGCCCCAAATGAAGCCAAAATTCAAGCACATCTGTCTCAAACCTGCTCATCTGTAGATTTCAATATATCCATATTCTATCAGGTCTTACAGCTACCTCCTCTGCTAAGGAACCTGACACCTTTTCTATCCTTGCTCTTCTTCCAGGTTTGCCTAAAAGCAGGAAGCTATAGCCAGACAACGGACCTATTTGCCAGCTTGATTGAGTAAAAAAAGGCTAAAAAGCTACCCAAGAGAGCAAATTTAAGCCAGTATCTACTTCTTAACTTTAAAAGGAATTAAAAAACCCTCCTTCCTGGGCACATAGACATTAACCCAAACCTACTGATTTTAATAAACCCAATACCAAAGGAAGGGAAGGTCTCATCATGACAGGAAACCCACAGATGGCACCATTTAAACAGCATAAACATTTATTCCCAGCCCATACCCACACTAACACTAATATCAAATTAGGCCAAATTTGTGCTTGGATGTCAGCATGCACTGCTTGCATTATGGAACTGTGCAGAGTAAGAGCTAGAAAAAACACACAGCAGACAAGAAATCAAAAATATCAAATATTCAAACTTGTTTTTCCACCTTCCTTTTGTTTCCACATTTTTTTGCCCTGCTAATTGCAGGTCATAAAAGCTCTCCAGGCTCTGCTCCCTTCATTGCTACTGAGAGACTAGAGCCAAACACGAGGTCCAGAAAGGCTCCAAGTAGCCAACAAAGAGGGTATTTCAGGAGGTTAAATTTGAGAAGTCACCAAAAGGGCTATGGAATAATGCTGGGTGATATCACCAACAAAGGGCTATTACTTCGCTGTGAATGAAAACAGCATCTGGCTTCAGGCAGGAAATAATCAGAAAGAAGAATCTCACCATTAGAGGAAAAACATAAAATGAAAAACAAGAATCATAGGAATTGATGGCTACATGAGTTGTTCTTTTCTTCCAAGGTTCTTCTATTGGAAAAAATGGCTGTTTAGAGTAAGGAAGGGAAAGTAACAGATGTGGTAGGTATTTTTTCTTCCTTTGTCTGCAATACTTGCCAGTTTTTCAACAATTGCATGATTCACTATTGAGTGTTTCAGCGTGAAGAAACTCTATGCTGCACAGCAGAAGCATCTTCATTTCCATTCTGTATTATTTTACAAACAGTAAAAGCAGCAATGCACATTTCCCTGCAATTTTCAGTTTGATGTCTTTTTTATTTAGCTTCAAACAGTAGTACAATGCAAACATTGCCTTAGATAATCAGAAATAAATGAGGTTTAAATAAATCCCTCACAGGAGGCAAATGAGGAGCTCACAAGCTGTCAAAAATGCAACTGCACTGATTTCCAGACCCAGGCTGCAGAGTAATTCCATTAGTTTTGCTCAACTCCCCATTCAAACAGCTTTTGGTCTGGGAGCTTCTACAGCTGTAAAGCAGGGGAAGGTGTTTTGAGGCATGGGAATAGGGAGAGGGAAGCCAGACCAGGCATCACAATGGGGTTTTCTGGAGTCAGGCAGGGAATTAGCAAGCAGAGAGCTCTGAAACAGATGAATTCAGCCCTATCAAACTAGTTTGAAAAGTGAAGAGTGACCCAATCATCTGAGGAATTTCTCCTCCTTTACATTCTCAAGTAACTCAGCACCTAAAGCCTCTTAGGACCACCTTGGCATGGCAAGGAAAGAAGTTTCAGTGTTAAAAGTGGCTGCCGATTAATGCACCTGCAAAGTGACTCCAAATGTGCCTTTTGAGAGCACAGAGCAGTTTGAAGAACAAGGGTCTACTAGTAGAATCCTCTGATGAAACTCACAGCTCCAGCAGGCCACTAGGCTGAAATCTAAGTTTTAGAGACAGTTAGTATAAATATATAGGTTTTTAAAGCATTGCAAAAACACCAACTCTACAATTCCACAATTATGAAAAATAGTAATTGTCAGAGCTGGATAGGACAGCATGAGCCTCCTCTGAAATTACCTGTTGTTTTTAAAATAGATAACCTAAATATCATACAGCACCATTCTTCTACAGCACAATCCAGGATCCACCCAAATTTCCAGCTCCGGAGAGCAATTCCTTTTTCCTCTAGGAGAAAATGCCCCCTTTTTCCCCACTTGGCTGCAGAAGGCTTTCATCTGTAGTTATCTATACTAGATGTAACAGAACCAACTTAACAGATAGCTGGGATAATACTTGTTTTTGTCAACTTCAGAGATAAGGCAGCATTGAACTCCATGACAAGTCTTGGCATTTATTACACATCTACTTCATTTAATGCCTGCTGTTTTGCTTTCAGGAGTATTCAGATAACTGTCTAAGCTGTGGGTGGAATACACTTACCTTTCACACTCAGCTTCAAAACATCCCTTCCTTTAAACTAAACAGCCCCCAAATAAGTAGAGTTCTTCAATCAAGGCAATTATTCTCCCCAAGGACATACCCACCTGAAAGAGAAGGCTCTAGCAAAAAAATTGAGTATAATACTGATCCATTTTGATAAACCATTAAAATCAATAGAGCACCATACCAGTGTATGGGCCTGCTTACCCAATGCTGGTTACAAAACCAGTTAATTCACATAGGGTCTTGAGCACTAGGGATAACAATACAGGACTCTGCAATAGTTACTTTTTCTACTGCTACAATAAGCTTTTAAAGTTATGCAATCAGGAAAAATTCCATTCTTTTCTTAAGGACAGTTTTGGAAGCCTTTTGGGCAGAAAGAAGCTTATAAGCACCACAAACAAAGATCTTATCTCAAAAAAAAAAAAAGCAAAACAAAAAAAAACCACACACATACCAGTAACAAGAGAACAGGGAAGCTCCTCTAAAAGCTTTAACCAGAAACTTTCAACACATGCAAATTACCATTAACTTACCTATTAAATAAATAATTAAAAAACTAAAATCCCTAAAGCACCACTACCATACACAGAGGAACCTACCTACAACACCCAAAGAGCAAGAAAGTGTGATGCTGAAGAGCTGACTCCATTAATAGGGTGGCCTTAACGATCCTGACCAGCCTCACCTGGGGCCCTCACCCCACCCAGCCCTATATAAGCTCAGTACTGGGCTGCCCATCCCCATAGCAGCTTTAGGTTGGAGATACTTCCTTGTGGCTTTGCTTTAAATATTTAAATATTTGCTTTTTATTTAAGTGTCTGCCTTTGCTCTTTTGTATTATAGGCAGTGGTATGCTCCCCAGGAGTCTTAGCTTGGATGTAGATATTCCTTTGGTGCTGGCACCTTTTCCAGGTATGGAAGTTGGGGCTTTAGGTGCTGTGGTTGTCCCCTGTGTCTTTTTATCTTTTAGAGAACACATAGTCCCTACTGTGCCTCTGCATATGTGGTGATAAGGTGACCAGTTAGTTTCTTAAAGTTAATTACTCTTGCTTCTGCCAATGATTTTCCATACCTGGAAGGGCTTTCTTTATGGGAAAAGAGAAAGCTAGACTCTTAAGAGGCATTTTTTTCCTCAAAAATCATTGCTATTTATTCAGGTTATTTTCTTCTAAAAGTGCTAAATAGAAAGCTTTTCTTCTTTGAAGCTCTACTAGACCATTTCAACCAATACAGTGTTAAAGCTTGAAAACACTGTCTAAGCAGAGACTAAATAGACATAGTTTACTTCCTCTAATAAAAAGGAAACCTAGGAGAGGATATGACTGCTCCCTATAAATACATCCTTAGAATAAACATTAAGGGAAGGAAAACTCTTTGCTTAAGCTGCAAAGCTGTTGGCACAAGAACAAATAAGCAGGAGCAGGCCTTGAGTAAACTCTGCCTTGCTAATCCTTAAGCTGTGACTTGCTACAGTCTCCTAGTCAAGGACACAAAAGTCATGGTAGTTTTTAAGGGAACTTCTGCTTGGGTTGTAGGGTGCCTACAGGACACACTGCCTGGGATGATTCTTCCCCTTCATCTCTTAGGTCTTTAAAATCTTTTTTTTCCAAAGAGTTTGGGCCAGGTCCATGCTACATAATGTCTCCTTCTCTTTTTTTTCCAGGGAAGGAACTGTATGAGCAGGTGCTTTCTCGGATTGGGAGAGGAGGAAATACCTAGGCATTATGATGAAATATTTGGATTGAGGTGCTAAAGCAACTGGAAAATATTTAACACTTCTAGTTCTGTAAATTCAATTTTCTTCCCAGCTCAGAAATACTGAAAATCATCTTTATGAGGTTTGAGTCATCCCAGTCTGCCTAATGGCGAGAAACAAAAATAGCCCTTGTTTATTTTGCAGCTGATGCACAAATCTCTCCTATTCATGACACCACTTCTGCATAATCAGGAACCACCAGCAACACCCAGGCTTGAGCAAGCAACCAGCCAAGAAGGTGCCAGGTCCCTGCAGGTGTTGCAGGGCTAATTACTCCCTGGCAAAATGTTTCCCAGGGAATAGCTGGGCTTGCACTAGATAAAGAGCAATCTCATGTGAGGGGCAGGTGACCTGGATTTGAAGCGGAGCTACATCTGAGGATTCCTGGGAATGTTCCCTTGTGTTCCCATAAGGGCAAAGTCCTGACATCCAAAAACTTGGCTGTGTTGATGCTCCTGTACTTGCTTCATCCTGGGCTAAGTTTTATACTCACTGATGCCACATCATGAAAAGAACCTGCAAACTAAGGCAGTTTTCACCAAAATCAGGGAAATAATGTGTTATTTTTCTCTTTTAAACTGAATACACAGATTTCAAAGCTATTACCAGAAGCGGCAGCCGCCTAAATAAAAGCCCCTGTAATGGAGCCGGGAGGATGCTGGTATGGAAGAGGTAAATATTTGCCATGCAGGGATCCTTGGGCAATCCCTATCCCAAACCTTGCTATGTCCAACACCTTTTCAAGGTTGACTTGGCTATCCCACCTTGCCAGTGACTGTTTACCAAATACGCTGTTAAGATTATCAAGGGATTACATAAATTCAGCATCTCAAAAAGGGAAACTAAACTGGGTTTTGGGAAGGAGGAAAAAGCTCTGAATCGATGCGGGGAAAAGTCAAGTCTGTATTCATTCTTGATACAATAATCTCATTCAATTTTCCCCTTAAATTTATGATGGTTTGCTCCCAGTCAGTAAATTTGTCACCCACTTTTGCTGTGCTTGCTCCATTTTTCTGGGCTTTGCCTTTCTAAGGAATGAGAAGGGAATAAAAGATGGGAACAGAAACTTGGAGAAAGGAAGAGGAGACCCTGCAGGGCTTTTGCAGGGTCAGAAAATGACATGTTTGCATAAAAAGTGATACAATGGTGTGTTTGTGTCACTCTGCAGTGAAGCCAGTATTACAATATTGTGAGCCTTGAAAAGACTGGCAAGAAAGTCCCTGCAAGCCCAAATGAAAACACAGCATTTTGAGAATACCATTTTCCCACCAAAACCATATTTCCTTACCTTAGTTGGTTAAATATTCCTGCCTGCTCCAGTTCCCAAAACTTTTTGCAATAATTTAAGGTGGTCTTTTGCAGTAATTAGCAGGTGCAAGTTAAGACAACTTGCATCTTGGATTTTGAGCTGGATTAACTGAGCATGGGACATGTGCTCAGTGCAAGAGGAGATGATTTGGGGGCATGCACCTGTGTTTTGTATCATAAACTGCTAGAAAAAGCTTGAATTGCACCAAAATGTGGCCCTCTTGTTTCTCTTATATATGGGGTAGGATAGCTTTAAGAAAAAAAGTGCGTTTCCTGCATCTTTAACCAAAATTTCCTCTTATTTCCTTATATGGGATGAAGGGGCTGCAATAGCGCCCGCCCTGCAGGGGGCGCCGCTCGCTTGGCGCCCCCACCGCCTCCCACGGCAGGGGGCGGGGCGCCGCGATGAGAGGCGCGCTCCCATTGGTCCCAAGGCCGCCGGCGGAGGGGAGAGAGGATGAGAGCGCCGCGCCGATTGGCGGAAGGTAACTCGGAGGGGGGAAGCAATGGCAGGGGTAAGGGTGTTCCCTGCCTTTTCCCCATGGATTAGGGGGTCCCCGTGCTCCCCCAGCCCTCATCTGGCTGCCCGCGCCTCTTCCCTGGCGCGCTTTCCCGCCCCGCGTTCGCGGGCGGCCAATGGGAGCGCGCCGCCGCGGGCTGTTGCCAGGCAGATTATGGTAATGAGCCCCGGGCGGCCGCTCCCCCGCCCCCCCCCCCGCTCTGCAGCTACCATTGTGAGGTGAGGACAGGTGGGGGGGTTTGGGGCCGCGGCGGGGCCGGCGGCGGCGGCCGGGGCGCGGCGGCCGCGCGGGACCCCCTCAGGTAACGCGATGGGACGGTCCGGGAGGGCAGCGCCACGCGGGGCCGCGGCGGGGACCCGCCGGGGGTTTTGGACTTGTTGTTTTAGTCGCACCCAAGATGGCGCCCGGAGCTGGCGGGCTCCGTAGTGCTGCGGACGGGATAAACCGTTGGCTCCCGCGGGGGGGGGGTAGGGTGCAGCCGTTCCCCTTCCGCCCCCGCGGGAGAGGTACATTCCGCCCCCCCTTCCCCGCCCGCCTCGGGATCCCCCATCCGCCCCGGACACAGGGAGAAGGGGCTGCCCCCACCCTCGTCCCGCTCCCCCCGCCCTGCTTGGTACAGTCCGGACCCCGGCACCTCTGTGTGTGTGTGTGGTTGGGGGGGGCGCTGGAGCCATCTTGGTGGCCGGAGCGCGGCGGGCGCTCGGCCCGCTCGCCGTTGCGGGGCAGCCGCTCGCTTGCCTGGCTCCGTGCGGAGATCGCCGCTCCTCCGCGGCGCCGTCCCTCGCCTCTGCGCCCCCTTCTTCCTCCCCCCGCAGTATTCCCCACGACTCCCCCTCTCGTTTTCGCAGTGGTTGCGCCCGAGTGGCCGTTGAGCACCGGCGGGGTGGTTGGGGGGGGCTCGTTTCCCCGGTGGGGAGTTGGGGGGGGGGGGGGGGGGGGGGGGGGCGCGGGGGGGGGGGGGGGGCGGCGCACCCGCGCCTCATGATTGGCCGGGGGCCTCGCGCCCCTTTCTCCTATTGGCCCCGTGAGGGGCAAGGGGCGGGGGGGAGCGTCGCAGCCGCCTCTCCTGGTTGGCTGGTTCTGTTGGCGGCGGTGGGGCGCGGAGGGTATATAAGGGCGGGAAGCGGTTGGTGGGGCGGCCGTTGCTGCCCGTGAGGCGCTGAGGGGCCCCGCCATGATGGGGGGCCCCTTTGGGCTGCAGTTCTGTGTGAAAAAAAACCATTTTTGGGGTACCTGGGGGAAAGGATGGAGTGGGGTTGGCCCAAGACCTGTGAGGAGAGGCCCAAATCCACGTGCTGGCAAACCCGGCAGTTTCTGGAAGCGGAGCTGTGATTTTTTTGCTGCCTCTACATGTGCAGGGCTTGCCGAGCTTCTCACCTCTGCCCTCCTGTGCTTGCTGGGCCATTGCTGCCTTTAATAAGAAGGAAAAAAAAAAGAGCATTTTAAGTTATAAAAGGGGGAAAAACAGAATTATTCACTGACTTGTCTGATATTTGGCTAATATATACATCTTTCACACAGGCTTTTGAAGTACGAGCAAGTATAAGGCCGGATAGCATTAAAAAAGCCTGCCAATTTTTCCCTTCCACCAGTTTGATGGGAATTAAGAGCCTGTAGTGAACTCATGCTTTTTTAATTTTTATTTTTTAGTGGGTTAACTTATTTTTTTCCCCCTTCCCTGGTTAGGGGATCTCTCCCTGAGCCTTTTGTGGGAACAAAACGCAAGAAGGTCTATTTATGAACTCAGCCCTGCAACTTAACTTGTTGCACTGTGCTGCTTTGGGGCTCTTTGCCTATGCTTTTCTTGCGCCTGATATTTAATAAAGCAATTTTATTACCCTTGCTATGGGGCAGAGTATTGACATGGTTGTTAATGTTGCTATCCGATGGAATATTGACAACTTGCTTGTGAAAAGAAATTGGAAGGGGTTGTCCCTTGCTGTCCTTGGACACCCTTCCTACCAAGGGTGCAATGAGCAGCCCTTGACGAGCTCCTGGTGTTAATTTGCGCTGCAGTTAGCAGCTACTTTGGAGAGTGTTTCTGGCCACCTGCAGCTGCCCTCTGCTGTGTAAACTGAATTGTGGAGGCACTCTTAATTTTATGAGCTTTGTTTTCGCTTAAACACGAGTTTAAACCTATTTGCCCCTCTTATTTTGGTGTTAGTAAAATACTGCGGAAATAGAAGTAGTTTGAAGATACAGGTGCCTCGTTGGTTCCCTTTGTGTGTAGCATTTAAGGCAAAGGACTGTTTAGAAAGATGCAGAAATAAGGTGATGTCTTGTGAATTGAAGATCTTGAGGTATCATTTTATTAAATATATATTTTTATATTTTTAACCCATTCTTGAGAACTTTACATACAGCGGTGCAACACTTGAGTTGATAAAGACCTTGACTTTCCCTTTTTGTTCATGTTAGGCTCTGAAAATATGCTTGTTTTCCCTATTTTCTGCCTCATCGTGCTTCTATAGGCATAATCGATAGGTTATATGATGGGTTGGACACAGTAGCACACGATGGGCCTTGGAGGTCTAAGAGGTGTATTCCAGCTCTTTATTGCTTTGATGATGAACGCGATATAAGGACGTAGAAAGATGGATTCCTTGTAGGCAATTTGAGTAAGAGTGAGTTTGGCCGAGTTATTCTGTTCATTATGTGATTAAATAAATTGCACTCATGTTTCCTATTGTGGAAATAGTCTTTGCTGTCCTACGTGTGCTTCCCATCTCCGACTCGCCACGAAAGCGTAAATATTGTGGGCATTTATTACAACCGTTCAGCCGAAACGCCCGGGAGCTGCAGTTCCTTGAAGCAATAACTGCTTTTGATGAACGTGGACGCGGAGGAAAAGACAGCGCTGTGACTCGGGAGGCAGCGGGGTTACAAACGCGGCCTCCTCGCTGCTCCGAAGGCGAATCCTTGCCAGGGGCTCGCAGGAAATGCGGCTGCCCTGCCTTCTAGGCAAGCCGAGGTAATTAACTTAAGTGTGGGATATGGCTTTTGCAGACACATGTGCGCTGCTCCTCCGGAGCATAATAAATCAGTGTTAAAAGCTGCAGGAAGACCCGTAGTCATAAAAGCTCTTTTTGCAGCGGTCTTGCTGTCCTTGCATATGGCTCCTGCTGCAAAAGGGTGGACAGTGAGCTCGGTGCTTAAAGGATTAAGCTAATAATGGCAGCTCTTATTGCTGCAGGGAACCCCCATCTATAGGCAAGGCCCTTTTACACCAGGGAATAAATCACATTAAGCTGTTTTTATGCACCATTATTGTAAAGTGGGCTCTCGTTTGAGATGCTGCAGTGGCTTTATGGCTCCCTGGCAGGGGAGTGGCCCTTGCTTCAAATTCTCTTCTCATCTTAGAAGGGCAAAGAGTGGATGTTTGACAGGCCCCGGGTGGTGCTTTCTCAGCAGAATGTCCTTAATTAGACTAGGAGAGGTTGCTACAGATGAAGTCCCCGGAGTTTTGGTCTCTTTAGCTGCTTGCTTTTTGATCTTTTTTGGGTATTGCCTCTTTCTGAATTTCCCGAGCTCAGTTTTTCAGTGAAGCACTGTGTGGTTTTGCTGGGCTGCAGCATCATCTCAAATCCTTGCCTACCGAGGGAAAACCAACACTGGCTCTGCTCTTACTTGAGGTCTTTCCTTCAAGCCCCATGTGCTCGCACCCCAGCTCTGCCCCCAGGAGTCAGAGTGATTAAAGGGTTTTCCAAGGGAGATTTCCAAAATGAGTAGTTCAGACCGTGACACACAAAAGCTCTGCAGACACTGATGGCCGCAGCAGAGAAGATTTTGGGATCACATGTAAAAGGCAGGAACTGCAAAGGAAGGCCATAGGTCTTGGACACCAGCAGGTCCCCAGAGCACGTTAAGGAGAGGAAGGTCAATGTGAACTGTGGGAATAAGGAACCCGTTTTGGCTCCAGGAGTTTGACTCGCCTGCAGAGCAGCATCTGCTGAGGCAGGCAGCTGGATTTTGGGGATGCTGAGACCTCCAGGAGCTCCATACCCTTCCTCTGAATCTCTTGAAGGCCTCTTTAGTCTCCTTCCTCCTCAAGGAATCAGGATTATTCCTGCTGAGATGAGTCAGCATCCTCAGACCACCAACAAATAGCTGCTTGTTGGGAAAGTCAGTCCAAAATCCTGCTACCTGTGGCACTGTGTGGAGTTGGCCATAACGGTGCCATTCTCCTATGCAATTAAATCAGCCAGTAATTGAGTTTTGTACTAACAGGGTGGTTATATTAACCCCCCCCAATCATTGCAACCTCTAGCATTTGTTTTCATTGTTCTAAGCAATTAGGTCTGGGTTAATGGATTAAACTACTGGCTTTTGTATCCTAATTACCTGAATGGGTTCTTGGATAATAGCGACAACAGGGGCAAATAAGATGGGCAGTTAGTTTTCTGCAAGATCAGATATGAGGAAATGCCTGAATTAATCCTTGAGGCTATAAGAAGTGGCTTTAAGCTAGCTGGATGAAAGGTACTATATATGGTATGCAGGTTATATATGTATATATTGCAGCCTATGTTTGCCATAGACCCTAGTTTTCGACACCTGGAGAGCATGATGCTGAAGCACTGAGGTGTTTTATCAGTCCATAACGTGGTCCTTTCTCCTCATTAATGAGATCCTCTAGCTAAAATGCTGCAGAAAGATACAACATTGTAAATTTTTCCCTCTTCTCTCCTGCACTTTGGAGTTACTGTAGTAGTGATGTATAGTAATAGCTATAGAGAATGTAGCTGTAAAGAGATAAATAACAGAGTGCATACATAACAGAGAGCATGTATAATAGCTATCAAGAACTATTGAAATAGCATTTTTCTTCCTTTACCCCCAAATCTACTGCTGAGAGTTTAATGTGAAGGCAGAGCAATCATTGCACCTCTCGTCAGTCACCCCTTTTCAGGACATCATGTGCTACATACATAGTATGTTGGTCAGCGTGAGAAAGGCAGAACTACCAGAAATAACTTTCCCAAAGTTTTCCTTAATATATGTGAAAGTAACATGAGTTTTTCCCACTGCTCAGATCAGTGACATTATCCGGAGACGTCTCCGTACTAGTGATTTATAAGTTCTGGCTCAGACCTGTGGTACAGTCAGTGCTCAGGTCTGCAAAGCTCATTTGCTGCTGGTGAAATTAGCAGAAGGCAGAAAGTGCCGGCTTCTTTCTTATCTTTTTTTAGCTTGTCGGTGACAAGCCAACTGCTAGCGTTTATGGGAATAAATTATGGCTAAAATAATTTGCATTTAAAATGCAAATGAAAGAAAGCGTCAGCAAGGAGCCTGCTGCTTTCTTGCTGGTGCACGGACTGGGGAGGCACTCGGTATAAAATCAAGTTAATTGGACTAGCTGAAAAATGAAATGGGCTCAGCCTCATGCTAATTCCTGGGCCTGTGATTTAATGTGACATTAGAGACGAAGGATTGGGAAGGTGCTGAACCACTGACTAAACCAATCACCAGAGCTGTAAATTACACTTCTGAGATTCCCTGTGGCAGATTGAGGGGCTCCAATAAAATTGCAAGAGGTGAATAAAACCTAGCGTGGAAGCAATTTGTCAGGATCTTCAGGCTTGCAGCAATTAGAGTTTTAAGTTTCATTGTTCTTTTGCTAAAAGTCATCTCCTGAAACGGCAGCTGAATATCAACTAAGGCTGCAGCTTGATGCAAGACCAAAGCTGCTTGTAGAAATAAAGCTGTTTGATTTTTTTGTGGGGGGAAGTAGCTGGTGATAGCACTATACATCCCCTTTTAATTGCAACCAAAGCTGCTTGTGCTGTTCTCTGCTTTAATATCTTGGTCTCTTCTTTCTTTATAGCCATGTTCCTGAAGACCACTTTGTCTTCTGCAAGTAGAAGCACCGTGAACAGATGAATCTCTTCAGGCAAACATTCCTCCCATAGAGGCCTCTCATGGAGCACCACAGCAGAGAGGAGATGGACTCCAAAGAGGAAAGTCCTCAGGTGTGGGCTGACTCTGCTGAGCAGGAGCAGAATTCTGCTCAGGTGACTAGTGCCTTCCAAAGCTCTCCATCTTCTCGCATGCAGTTGGGCCTGCAGCTGTGGTGAGGAACTTAATCCAGGCACCTTTAGGAGGTGCTATTTGTGGCAGCCAGGTCTTGAGTTAAAATGCAGAGGAAAAGGGAGGAACTGGTTGTGGTTTTTGTCTGGCATCATTTAGAGGACATTTTGAGCATCATTTGTGCTGTGGGATTTGTGTTGTATCCTAAACAGTAGGTAGTTGGGACATATGTTATTCCCTGCTCCCAAGATGCTTCTGCAGCCTGTGGTTTGCATGTGTAGAAATGTGAGTGCAGGATCTGTTCTTCCAGGTGCACTTTGTCCCTGAGGGGGGGACAGTGGCCCAGATCGTGTACAGCGACGACCAGGACCGTCCCTCGCAGCAAGTGGTCTACACAGCAGATGGCACCTCCTACACCTCCGTGGACACCTCGGAGCACACGCTGGTTTACATCCACCCCGTGGAAGCTACGCAGGCATGTGTGGTTCCGAGCCCACCCCTTCCTGGCACCTCCAAAAGGGAAATGAGCTTGTTCCAAGCTCCAGCCAGCTCCCCAAATGGCCAAGGGCTGGCGGCCGCGTTTGCAATGCCTTGATCTGCCCGTGCGTGACAAGGGACTTCACGCTGCTCCTTCCAGTCTGATGTGCAAATGTGGCAATCAAAGGATGCTGGGCTTAGAAAAGATGAAATGCTGGTTATTTTGTTGGAGGAGGGTGAGGTTGTAATCGGATCAAAGGTGTTTTTAGAAACGCTGATAATCTCTCTGGAAGTCCTGCCTCTGCTGTGTTTGGTACAAAGCTGATTCAGACCTCAATGGTCATAAGAAAGACCCATGTTTTTTTGGAAGAGTCCTTGTTGTGCATAGTGCTCTTCTCATAATTAACAGTAACAATAAATCTGTTTTTTTCAGAGAATCACAGCATATTTAATCTAATTTTGCAGTCAGAAAAGGTTGATTTCATAGGTCTAGATTCTTTTTTTCCTCTGAGTAATTATATAATAATTAAATATCAAATAGCTTTTCTCTGACAGCTTGTGTTTAGGCTGTTAAATAGTATGCATCCATACCTCTGCGTGGGTAGATAAGAGTGAGGAAAAGGCAGATTGTCAGGAAAGTTTTATAGTCTCTTTGGTGATGTGACAAATGAGTAGTGCTACAAGGTGCGTGTCCGTGACACTTGAAGCCACCCTAGCAGTGCCTCATGTGCCGTGGTCTCTGTGGTGCAGTTCCTAGCAAGCCCACAAAAGAAATTCTTATGTTGTAGCCTTTATTATTTTTATTATTTTTTCTTGTCCGAAAGACGTGGAGTCTTGTTCTTCCCAGCCTCTGTATGTGCTTGTGATAAAGACCTTTTTTCCCCCTGGTTTGATGAGCCTTTTTCCCTGGTTTGAGCCTTTTTCCCTGGTTTGATGAGCCTTTTTCACTTTGTCTAGACTCTGTTTACAGATCCGTCCCAAGTGGCTTACGTCCAGCAAGATGCTACCACCCAGCAGGTAAGAGACCTTGTTTCCCTGGCCCTGAAACTGCAAGGGAACATGCACAGAAGGTCAGGGGACCTTGTTTTGGTGGCAGGGACAGAGAAGCCACTTGTGAATTTGTCAAATGACAATCCTTGATTGTCACTCCAGTGATGATGAGCAAAGAGCTTACCTTAGTGAGCCAGTGTTATCTTGGCTATCTTGTGCATGAGTGACAGCTAACTCGGCCTCTCTAAACTGTTAAGTTGATATGCAACCAAAATCCTATTTTCCTGTCCCAGATTTTAAATCTGTCCACAGCATCCCTTTAAAAGACTTAATAAGCCAATGAGACTAACCTTATTTGGAAGTCCTTCTGGAAGGACTGGGATTGCAGTTGTCCAGCTATGGATTTTGGCCCAACTTCGCCAGGCTTTTTGTTTGATATTTTAGATCCAGGTCGTTACTAAAATGCTTATTTTTTGGAATGCTTGAAGAGGAATGAAAGGATAAATATACATTAACCGTAAGATTTTTACCTGCTAGAAAAAGGAGACTTTCCAAACTGTTGAGCCACAAGCAGGAAACAATTTGACTGACAGTACAGTTGTCTCTTAAAAAGTCCAAATCTCCAAATACATTCAGAGTATGTATTTTTATATTTCTAGATCAAGTTGCTTTTATAAAAAAGCCAAGCAATGCCACTTAGGTGTTTTGAACCCTGCTTTCTAACAAGTGTTATTGATAAATATGCAATCCAATTAACTGAGTGGTTGTATATGCAGTGCACACGATGTGCTGACATGGCAACAACGCTGGGGAGTTGTTACTCATGTGTTCAATATCAAGGGCATAACTATGTGTCTTTCAAAATAAATGTTGAGGGGATTGAAAGGGAATTCAAAATCCCAGCTCTCTGCTGGTCTTTCGGGTTTTCCTGTCTGCCTTTTGAGCTTACAGGATCCTGGCCAGGTTTTTGGAGGACCGGACTGAGTTACTCCACTCTCGTGTCCTGACTGGTGTTGGCTCTCAGCGCCATCTCTCACCCACCCTGAATCAGGGCTGTGCCCTTGTTACCCACCCCAAATCCAGAATTTCTCCCTTCTACCTGCTTGGCAGCACCTTTCACTGCTCTTCTTTATTCTCTGCTTCTTAAACTCTCTCTAAAGGGGCTTTCCTTTTAGTCCAAAAGCAGAGGCACAAACTAGAGCCCTTATAATGTTAAGTACAGAGAAGGATGAAAAAGCATGTGGGATATCAGTACTGATCCCGGGATAGATAAACTGAACTCAAAAGGCAGCAAGGGTAATTCCTGGCAGCTGAATTTTGCTTTGGTTGATTGCTGAATAGATGGGAACAGCAAATTAATGGGTGTAGTAGTATGCATTAATATTAATGTCACTACACAAGGAAATGAGTAGGAAAAGGGAAGCCAAAATGTACAATGTAGCCAAATAACACGGGGGAAAAATAATTGTTGGAATCCTCTTGTTTTGGAGGGCTTGATTTTCCAACCAAGCTAATATACCTTTGGTTTCTATGATGAATCTTGGTCTGGTTGAGAAGGAAGAACAGAAGAAAAGGGAGGAGATACCTCATAGTGTTTTTATTTATTTCCTCTCTCCTAAAGGAAAAAAAGAAAAAAGGAGGAGGAAAATTTGGAGGAAAAAAAATGAAGTCCTCAATTCAGTAGCTTTACTAAGAGCTCCTCACTTGTTTCTAGTGCAGTTTCCAGGCTGGATTGGAGCTTAAAATTAAAAAGGGGGGATAGGAGATTCATAAGCTGCAAAGGCTGGGCTGGGCTTTGAAGCCTTTCCACTTGTCCCAAATGCTTATTCCCAGCCTGGGATGTGTTTGGATCTGCAGGTTTGATCTCTGAGTCCACCCTCCCTATTAGAAACACCCTTAAAACCCCCAGTTTGGGGCCTGCTAGAGGCTTCCAGGGAGCTTTGCATGCAGGGCCCTGCCCGTATGTGAGTGATGGACGGGAATGCCGCAGTGCTAAAACGAGTGCCTGTAATTTTAGGTAACGGTGCTCTTGCCTGCTGCTGCCCAGAGCATGAACCCCAGCACCCTGCCCGTGCTCAGCAACGTTGCCCAATCCCCCCAGCAAATGGCCCTGGAGCAGGGGCCACAAGCAGATAGAGTAAGTTGCCAGGCACCCTTTTGTTTTTTCCATGGCTCTGGTTTCCTTGCTCCGGTGTCTTGGGATAAAATGTGGCTGAGGGAGATGGGAGGCAAAGCAAGGAAGTTGGAGCGTAGGGTTGTTGCCTTCAACCTACCTGGTTCATAGGCTCCTTGTGGGGTGTGTGGGGTTTTTAGGAGGGCTTGTGTAGCTAATGTACAGAGCAGGCTATTCTATAGATTCTATATCAACCACTTTAAAATACCCCTTTCAGGCTGGAAAATCCTACCTTGACTGTCACGTAGGGCCAATATCCTCCGTGTCCCTTTGCCGTCCTCTTAAGGCAGCTTTATTCTATATGGTAGCTCTTGCTGAGAAACCTGTGAGTGAAAGTGAAGGGAAATGTTCATTTGAATTAGCAGAGGTCCTTCATGTCTTGCAATTCAGATCTAATACTGGTGTTACTCCTCCCATATTGATCTCCACACCTCTGCTCCGGGGGTTGTTTTCATGTGATAGTACAGCAGGAGACCAAAGATCATATGTAAAAATGCAGAGTTCTTGCACTTCTCCTGAAAATACAGCTTTTAGGCTCTGGATCATTTCCACCAGCATTTATTGCAGAGCTCCCCTGGTTTCAGTTCAGAGTGGGCTGTGACACAGAGCTGTTCAGAGCAGCAGATGTGCAAAACGTCCCTCTGCAGTCATTTATCATACAGTTCCCCTTGCCCTTCTTTCCATTACCAGAGGAAATAAAGAATAGCCTAGCGAGAGCTTTCATTGCTTGTCTTTGTGAGAGTGTGATTTTATTTTACCTTGCAAATGGGGAATCAACCTTGGTCGTTTTTTTTTTGTCCTCAGGCATCACTACCGGTGCATAACCAGGTGTTACCTCCTATGGAGGCAGTGGATGGTTCGGACCCTTTAGCACCTTTGCAGAATCAGATGGGAAGGATGGAAACGAAAGAGGAAGACGACGAAGATGAAGACGAGGATGAAGAGGGGGAAGACACTGACATGGATGAGTGGGATCCGGATCCACCTCGGCCTTTTGATCCCAATGATCTCTGTGAGCATATGAAGAAGGGCACAGTGGATTAGCGGTCTCTTGCCCTTCTTTTTCCCTTTCCCCTTACTCCTTTTAGTAAAGGGAGTTAAAGATGATTCAGGTTTTAGCATTAATAACCACTTTCCTGAATTATTCCCAGAAACATAGACTCCTCTTGGGCTGCTTCACCCAAAAAGCAGGATTCTCTCTTAGGCAGAGTCTCCAAGCAGCTTTATTCCTTCCTTTGCAGAGGGCTGCCCTCTCTAATGTTTTAAAGGCTATTGGAGTAAACATTCCTACTGCTGAACCCAAGGTGTTGAGAGGAAGATGATGGTGTTAAACTGTCTTTTCTGCCCTGGTGCTTGAATATCTGCCTGATAAGTGTCCTTTCTCTCTGCTTTTATGATGTAGGGTGTGAGGAGTGCAATAATGCGCATCCGTCCGTGTGTCCCAAGCACGGCCCTCTGCATCCCATCCCAAACCGGCCTGTGCTGACGAGGGCGAGAGCCAGCCTGCCCCTGGTGCTCTACATAGACAGGTTCCTGGGAGGTGTCTTCTCCAAAAGGCGCATCCCCAAGCGCACGCAGTTTGGACCCGTGGAAGGACCCCTGGTCAGGCAAACGGAGCTCAAAGACTGCTACATCCATTTGAAGGTTTGTGCCCTTGGGAGGAAAAGGGAGGAATTGATGCCTCATCTTGGATTTCCGTAGCTTTGAATCTGTTGCTGTGCCAGCTGTTTCGCTGGAGGACCTTCTGTTACTTCCACTGGTCCTCAGCAATTCCTAGCTGGCTTTGATGTGATATCTAGAGCTACTGGTGCTCTTCAGGGTGACACAGTCACAGTGACTATTGTGGCTTTCTGGTGGTGTGATGTATGGCACTCACTATTGAATGCAGTGAATCACTCTCACATGGGTTGCAGTGGCATCTGGACATGAAAATAGCTGCTCCATCTCAGGATGTTTTGCAGCCATAAAGTTGTGTCATGCTGTGCCTTAAGCTAAAAATATTTCTCCTTCTTCCGCTTTCCCTCCTTCCTCCCCCGGGATGCAGCGGGGAGAGGCCACCCCACCAAGGCTGTTTGCATGAGGCAAGATGGATTTGATTAGCTGGAATCCATTTACTTGTCTGATTGGTAGTGGGTCCTTTATTTTGAGTTTTTAAGTATTTCAAGAATGCTGCCGCCTTCTGAATCCCTGTTAGCAAAGAGAAAACATCAGCTATGCCTTTGTAAAGTCAACCTGGTGAGCTCCTGGGACATATATGAGCTTATATGACTTATATAAAACTGGATTTTACTACAGGTGTCTCTTGATAAGGGTGACAGAAAAGACAGAGACTTGCAGGAAGACCTGTGGTTTGAACTTTCCAGCGAGGCTCTCTGCAACTGGATGATGTTTGTGCGCCCGGCTCAGAACCACCTGGAGCAGAACCTGGTGGCCTATCAGTACGGCCACCATATTTATTACACGACCATCAAAAATGTGGAGCCCAAGCAGGAGCTCAAGGTAGTAGGAAATTACATTTCATGACTCGTTTTTCCCCTCTTTAATCAAGCTTACGATGGCCTGAACCAAATGTCACCGAAATCACACGTCAGCCACTGACTTGCAGGATTTAAATGAGCTTTGGTTCAGATCTTGCATGAGGAAGTTTAAAAAAAAAGAGTATGTAAATGTTTTGTCTGTCCCTGCCATGCTTTACAGCACACGATTTGCAGATGCAATCTCATTTTTATTGCAGCAATCTTGTCTTTAGTTCTGAGTGCCCTTTCCTGATAGGGCTGCGTGCCCTTGATGTGGTTTCTGGTGCCTTGAGTGTCTGGAGTGTCCCTCTTTACCTGCATTTTCTGCTCCTGGGACATTTGCAGCCTGTGGGAAATGACAACAAATATTGTGACTTCCCTGGGAGTTATTTATTGTCTTCTCTAAGAGTGTTTTGATTACTTGGAACTCCAAGTAGGATGGCCTTCGTTTGGAGCATCGTTTTGGAAACTGAGGGTAACCTGGTCTTAGATATCAGTAAATAGTTTGTTCTTCCCTGAATCATCCTTTTTAAACCAGGAAAAAAAGCCTGACTTAAACCCTTGTCCCTGATTTTTAAGAGCAGGTTTGATTTTTTGGCCTTCTCTGAAACTGGTCCTGAGGTAGCTTAAGCTAATCACTAGAAATCTGGTTAATCCCTTCTAATTGTATCCAAACATCATTTTTCAACTGTTTTTTAAATCAATTTGAAAGCAGACCTTAATTCAATCTGTGCAGACCTGCCTGTGGAGGCACCATTTTTCTTGCTTCCTGTGTTAGCGGTGCCTTTTGGGGTAAAATTAGTTGGATAATTGGAAGTGAATTACCCAGGCTCGGTAATGGATTTTCCACTTCAATTCGACATAGGGCATTCATACAAATTTTATGGAAGATTGAGGCGGGTGGATTAGTGAATTTAAGCAGTGGGAGCTTTTGCATTGCAGGACAAGCTCCAGGATTCCCTCTTTGGTTAGGCAGATGCCTCTAAAATAACATGTCCCTGTGTGAGGCTTTGAAGCAGGGCACAAATGGCACTCACCACTGCTGTGAAAACAGCTGTGGTCAATCCATGTTTAAACTCACTCAGGTTTTTCATGCTGAAGATCTGTTCCAGCCTCCTTGTGGCGGTGTCTTTCCTATGGGAGCCTTCCCAAGCAAGATGGGATCAAAAATGAGGCAAGAATGCAATTAAATGTGAACGTCTGATTTTGGGGTTCTGTTGTTTACTTAGAGCAGCGAAGAAAAGGCAAATCCCTCAAATTAAGGATTTTTTCCCTATTTCTCATGGCACCCTAGCACATCACAGTACTTTGCAGGCATCCATCCTTTACCATCCTTTGTCCAAGTTTCAAAAGATTAATCTTATTTCTGTTTGAAGCACTGTGAGATGAGCACTCTTATGGGAGAGCTATACCTTAAAATTAAATGTTTCTGCTTTCGAATCAAAGCTGGTTTATTCCTTAGCATCTTGATTTCAGGAGGCTTTATTATTGAGGGTGAAAAGAGCAATGGATTAGTTAGGGATTGAGGCAAGCACTGTCAATAAGGGAGGAAAAAGACAAAACACAACATTTTCGATGAATTTCTCTCAGTTCTGCTCCTATTTAAGAAAATACTGTGTATCTCATGCCTGCTGCAGGTGTGGTATGCTGCCTCTTACGCAGAGTTTGTGAACCAGAAGATCCATGACATATCTGAAGAGGAAAGGAAGGGTAATTTGGCTTTTTCTCTTTGTGTGTGTGTGTTTTATTTCCTCCCAAGGTAATAGTAGCAATGTGGAGTTTTGATGTTATTCTTTAATTTGGGGTACATAGTGCTTCTAGTTTCTGTTTGGTTAAAGGACATCACTGGGCGCTCTCTGCTAACGCTCTTCACACTAGCAGTAATTTAACCTTTAAGTATTGCTCCTGGGAAGAGGTGTATTTCCGTGCTCCCAATATTGAGTCCATGTGTGACAAATCTGTGTGTAACTGCTTGAGGTGGAGGCATTTCTGTTAACATCACCTAAGTCGCATCAGAGATGTGATCCTGTGGGTGTTCATACGACTCGGGGAAGATTTTTGCAGCCAAATGTTTAAAGCAGAGGGAATAATCCATGCAAATCTCCCCCAGTGCCCTTTCTGGCTCTCTGCAATCAGTCCTAGTCATATCACAGTGTAGAGAGAGGATAAAAGCCAAGCTAAATTGCATGTGTGCTGGGTATTCTGCAGTCAGTCTAACCTTCAAGGCAGAAATATGGCCCACAGAGGACAGAAAGGCCTGGAAATAAAACAAAAGAGTTGAGTTGGTGGCTGAAATACTGTTGTTGACGTTTCCAATTGAACAGTCCTCAGAGAGCAAGAGAAGAACTGGCCGTGTTACGAGTGCAATCGGCGCTTCATGAGCTCGGAGCAGCTCCAGCAGCACCTCAACTCCCACGATGAGAAGCTGGACTTCTTCAGCAGGTACCAAAAGCTTAACTTGGCCTATGTATTCCTCCGAGTGCAAAGTAGATGTGTATGAACCAGGGCCTTAATTTTGCTGCAGAATTTTGGCAGGTTTTATTACTGCAGTCCGTTGTTGCTTAGCAGTTGCCATTGCCCCACTCAACTAAATGGACACACAAAAAGAGCCTGGATCCCAACTCTGTCCCTTTTATCCCTAACCTGGAGCGCTGTGTTTTCCATAGAGCCAGAGGCAGAGGCCGTGGACGAGGAAAGAGGAGGTTTGGACCAGGCAGACGCCCGGGGCGCCCGCCCAAGTTCATGCGCATGGAAATAACCAGTGAAAATGGTGAAAAGTGTGAAGAAGGGACACAGGTATATTTGAGGATGGGAAAGCGGGGGGAAAAAAACATCATTTTGGGTGTTAAACTCTCTAGAAGCTTTTTAGGCATCAGTGGAAGATGCTCCTCTGATTAAAACCCACAAAGTTTTTGGCTTTATCTATAATTCTTGGTTGGGGAACACTTTGATTAGTAGTTAGCAAGTATGCTGGAAGGACAGAAATGCCATGATTTATGATACCTTAAAGGGATGATGCTGCTGAGATCAGGTGGGAGAGAGTCCCATGGAAAGAAGCCACTCCGGTGAAATCCCAAAGTCCTGCTTATGTTTTTAAGCACATTTTAAGTGAGAGGGAGACCTTATGCCCTCAAACTCACGTTGACTCGGTGCTCTGCACTCACCACTGACCTTGTTCAGCTTCTCTCTGCTTTTTATTGGAAGAAACTATTGTCATCCTCTTGCCTGGCTTCCACACTTAGTGCTTTGCTTTTTTCCCCAGTTATTCCTGTCTCTAAAAACCCTGGAAATCTGCCACCTAGACCAGCACTGGGCCGTGGGCTCGTAAATCATTCCAAGCCTCTCTGTCCATTACGGGTCCATCGCTTATAGCAGCTGCTCTCCTGGCAGCTCTGTTGTCGTCTTGTCCCGCACCTGCTTTTGCCCTGTGAAAGCAGCCTTGATCTGACACGTTTTTGGCGCTCTCTTTCTTTGCTTGTGCTCTTAAATTCCTTAGTTGCTTTGTAAGCAATTTTGTGCAAGGGTCAATGCTTTGTCTGGGGGGGATTTTTTCAGGGGGATGCACTAAAAGAGGTACCATGGGCCATGTGTCGAGCTCGTGGTTAAATACGTAGAAATTTTGTTGTCTTGAGTTAACACGAGTGTTTTTCAGTGGGTGGGGGGAATAATCACTGGTTGTATGATTTGCGATTTCAGGACTTGCTGCATTTTTCCAGCAAGGGGCAGTTTGAGGAGGCCGGACAACCTCCCCTGAACGGGCTGGAGCAGCAGGACGAGACTCCGGGGCCACCCGCTGCGCAGCCGGCCCTGGATCAGCACCCGGAAAACCACCCGGTGCCCATCCAGCCGCAGCACGAGGAGAGCGCAGTGCCCACGCAGAGCACCATGACAGCAGATGACATGAGGCGAGCAAAGCGAATCCGGGTAAGCAACGAGGATGGTGGCTCGTGTCCTCTCTCTCCTTCTCATTTTGCTGCCACCCAGCAAAGGCTGGACCTGCCAGCACCAGCTGGTGCCTTTCTCTGCAAGTAGCCACGTTCAAATCTGCTTCTCATTTGGAGCAAATTCCCTCCTCCCGAGAGGAAGACGGGTCTTGTGGGCAGAGCCAGTAGTTCATGAGCTGCTAGTGAGAATTGGTCACCAGTTGGAGCCAGTTCAATTCCAGCACAGGGATTTTTTGGAGTGAAACAAGCCCTGTGAGCTGGCAAGCAGGAGTGCTTCAGGCACCGCCTGAATCATGGTACTGTGGCACAGACTAATGGCTTGTTCACGGCACCATCTGTGGCTCTCCAAGCTGTTGCCTGGGAAAGAGTTGCCAAAAAGGAGCCACAACCTCAACTGGAATCTATTTACTTGACAATGCTGATGATATTTAATGATAAAAGCCTTGATTGAGGTGGAAAAGCTGCCTCTCTGAGATGAAAATCTGGGCGAAGAACTTTGTGTACTGACAACAACTGCTTTGAACTTGAGCTTTGTGTCAGCTGGGTGAGCTCTGAGCTCTTTTTTTCCTCCTCTACAGTGTGTGGGAGGGAAATGATTCAAGCAAATAATCCTTCAAGCCATGTAATTGTGAGCCTAAAATCTTTTTCCTCCCTGTGTAAAATTCTGATTATAGAAAGGAACAGCTGCAATTGGGGTGAGACTTTGTTTTTAGGGGATGAGGAAGAGGATTAAAGAGAAATCAGAGTTGAGTAACTGTTCCTTAGAGGAAGACGTTGAACCAAATTTTGCTGTTATTTCACAGCAATAGATGTGCAAATCTGGGAGTGTTACTCCAGCAGCTTATCTTGGTGGGAGCACTTGTAAAGACAGAGAAGGAAATATGTAAGTTACTTGTGGAGCTCTTGTTCCCTGGAAATGTATATCTGGATTGCAAATCAGAGGAGTGCGGTGGTGGTTTAGTCCTCAGTTGCACATTTGTATCCCCATATGTCTGAACTTGTGTTCAGCAGGGTCCTGGAGACAGCACCTTTTCATAATAACATGCAATTAATGATATAAATGCACATTTTGTCCTAAAATGTGCCATATGGCACTTTTCTAAAGAGCAGATAGGAAATCTTGGTTATGATTGGGATCTGTGTAGCTTTAGCTTCTGCGTAGTTCGCGTAGGATTTTGTTCCTTAGGAGCAGTGATTTCCTTATACTGCTGGATTCTGCCCTTGAGAAACTGGAAAAACATATGGAAATCTTGCTGAATTGTAGGTTTGGGGGAGGTTGTTTCCTTATTTTAATGGCTAAAACAGTGAAGTGCTTTAATTCTAGTGGGAAATATGGAAGGAATCCTGGTATGCGGGTTGCCGATGAGGATCGGTTTGTTTTTTAGCATCAGAGCTGGTGGAATTCACTGCAGATGGAGCTTAAAGAGAGCAGTTTTGTCCTTGGTGTTTCAACAGAGATATGCCCACCCCGGTAGTGAGAAGGGCACAATCTGGTCCGAGGCCAAAATGACAAAAAATCACTTTTTTTTCCCCAGTCTTGTACAGTAGCCTCACTAGGCAGCTGCCTATATGAGAAAACATGAAAGGTCACAAAGCACCTTCAAGATTTTCTGTGGTTTTTATCTTTGCCCTTTCCCTCCCCTTGGGCAGCCATTAACTATAGGGTAGTCTTGAAGATTTGCTTAGTGTTCCTGGAGGCAAAAATTCCCTTGGTGGGAATTTTGCCAAAGCCAGGAGTGAGCTTTAGTGTCAGCAACTGGCCCTAGGAGTGACCCAGAGAAGTCAAACCTTCTGTTTTACACTCCATAACATAAGTATTTTTCTCTCCCTCAATGCTGCCTGCTCAGCTGGAGCTGCAGGTAGGTTTGGGTTAATTTTTTTGTTTTGTTGCTTTTTTCCCCCCTCTCTTTTTGCTGTATCTCATCTAGTGGTGCGTTACAGCATTGCCTTCAGTGCTGGTTTTGTCTAATTTTTACACAGCGTGTGTCTATCAGCTTGTCACTTGGAGTGTCCCTCTGCATCTCCTCCTTTTGCTGCAGTTCCTCCACTCATGGAGAGTGGAGATGACAAGAGCTCCTGGGAGGCCTCCTTCGAAGCTCTTGTCTGAAACTGTTCACACTTGGTTTTTAAAATAGTAAAACAGTTGCTCTCACGTTCTCTTTTCTCTGGAATGAAAGGGTAGGTTTCCCTCTGCAGTTCAGATGGTGAAAAGGAGCATTCGGGTTCACTAACTTCATCTCCAGCAGAGCATTTCACACTATTCCCAAGCTGTTCTCTGGTTCCAGCACTAGAGCTCCTCGCTTTGCTCTCTCCGTGTCAGCTGTTTGGCACCCGCTTGAGGGACACAGCAAATGTCAGCCCAGACATTCCCATAAGGAAAGGAGAGAGGAAACCAGGGGAATGTGTTTGCTGGAGGGCTCACTGCATCATATGGAGAAATATGCAATATTGAACGTGTGTAAGCAGAGGTGCCAGCAATGTTCTGCTCTGTGTCTCCACTAGCACGTAATCAGTGTAACCTCTGAGAAGGCAGCAGTAAATGTAGATATTATTTTGGAGACGAGTCAATATTCCTTAGGTTCCTTGCAGAAAAAGGGCAGTATCACAGATTCCTTCGAGTGCAGTTCGAGTCCCATAGTGTTAACAAGTTTTCCTACATGCACAAATATGAGTTGTTTGCACCTTTGCAGCTAGTAAACTCCATTTTAAAATGAGTGTTTGCATAACCCATTATGCTCCCCATGCCATATCCCTACAAATCTGCAGTATCTAGAAAAGCAGTTTCATTTTGGATTGTGTATGATCAAATTCACAATCCGACAGTGGAATTCATCAGAGTTCCCCTTGATTTAGCAAAAACATTTCTCATTCATCTCTTCACTTTCAGAGCCTCGTGCTTGATAGATGCTTAAAGACAAAGTTGTATCTGTTGTTCACACATTCTTCCCTGTTGCCTTTGTGCTCCTGCTGTGATGTTTTCATGTTTATTCCTCTTGTCCCTAAAATCCAAAAGGTTCCAGAGGTTTTCAAGGCAACGCTAAACCACCACCGCACGTCTCTGTGGGGCTCTCTGCAAAAAAAGGGATTTTGATGTGTGGTGGAGTTTGGGAAGCCCTGCTCCAATGGGATAGATAGCAAATAATCCCACTTTTTTGGGGGGGGGCTGAACTTGAGAGCCAGTCCTGAGAAATTGGGAATTGCAGCTCTATTCTCAGGTCTCTATGTCAGAGAAGATTTATTTTCCTTTAGCCCCAAAATGCCATGCTAAGAGCAAGGGAGCTAATGGTGTTAACAAAGCAGAACGCAGGAATTGGGAGGCTCCTGGATTTGCTTCTCCTGACCGGATGTGTAACTGCAGGCATATCCCTGAGCTTCTCCCTATATCCCAGTGCCTCCTGTAAAACAAAGCCAATATCTGCAACTTAAGAGCATATATTGAAATTCCAGTTTATTTTCTGGTATGATTAAGCTTGGTAATGCTTGGAGGAGGACTGGATGCACGTGGCCAATGGGTTTTTTGGGCCGTGTCTTTCAGAACGCAGCTCTTCAGCATCTCTTCATCCGCAAATCCTTCCGCCCCTTCAAATGCCTGCAGTGTGGAAAGGCCTTCCGGGAGAAGGACAAACTGGATCAGCACTTGCGGTTTCACGGGCGGGAAGGCAACTGCCCCTTGACCTGCGATATCTGCAACAAGGGCTTCATCAACAGCAGCGCCCTCGAGAGCCACATGAAGTTCCACATGGACCAGAAAACCTACTCGTGCATTTTCTGCCCCGAGTCCTTCGACCGCTTGGATCTGCTCAAAGACCACGTGGTCGTGCACGTCCACGATGGCTATTTCACCTGTCCCACGTGCAAAAAGCGCTTCCCGGATTTTATCCAGGTGAGGGGCAAGGCTGGTTGGGAATGCTGCCTTTCGGCTCACCTGCAAGCCCTCTGTTACATTGATTTTTCAGTAATGTGTTTGCATAGTAGGACATGTCACAAGCTGGAGACCTGTATCAGCCATAAATTGGAAAGGATGTTCAAATTGCCCATTCAGATCTGTAGCAAAATGTTATGATTTTGTAGAAGCCTGTGCTCAGATATCAACTGTTTTGATAAACTACCTATAATTCAGAGCAAATGTCTGCCAAAGCAGAACTCAGAACCATTTCTCACTCAGAATTCCCAAGCCTGTTTTCCTACACAGTTTCTTCTAAAGAAATTCCTTTCTGCTGTGCTCTGCCCCTGCCAGGTGAAGAAACACGTGCGCAGCTTTCACTCGGAGAAGATCTACCAGTGCACCGAGTGCGACAAGGCCTTCTGCCGTCCCGACAAGCTGCGGCTCCACATGCTGCGCCACTCGGACCGCAAAGACTTCCTGTGCTCCACGTGTGGCAAGCAGTTCAAGGTGAGATGCCTCGAGGTCCTTCCCAAACGGCCACCAAATCGGGGTGGCGGCAGCTTGTACATGCTCGCTTTGCTGTGACGCCCTCAGGGGTTGGAATGGACCCGTTCTGGGCACTGGAATACTTGGAATTAGGTGCCTTGCAGTTGCTGCTTGCAGAAGGTGGTGCTGATGCTTTTCTCTTCCTGCAGAGGAAGGACAAGCTGCGCGAGCACATGCAGAGGATGCACAACCCCGAAAGGGAGGCCAAGAAAGCCGACCGCATCAGCCGCTCCAAGACCTTCAAGCCTCGCATAGCGTCCACGGACTACGAGAGCTTCATGTTCAAGTGTCGCCTGTGTATGATGGGCTTCCGCCGGAGGGGCATGCTGGTGAGTGGCCGCCTCTTCTGGTTCCACTTGCAGGCTTCTCTGCTCGGTTCGGTGAGACTGTTTGGGCTAAAGGTGCAATTTCAGCGCTGGGAACAAACAGATGCTGAGAGACTGAGAATTTTGTAGCAGACCAGAGTGTTTTTGCTTTGTTCTGTTCTCAGCCTCTGTGTGTGCTCAAAATCTTTCTTTTTTGCCACCTCCTGCTTCTTCAGAGGGGCCTCTCCTGCTCCTGCCACTGTGAAAGGATGTTTGCAATTAAGATCTCTTGCTACCACTTTGGTGAGCGTTGTGATCTCTGCTAGCGAGATCTGCTCTTTGTTTCCTTCTGTTAGGTGAATCATTTATCAAAGAGACATCCAGACATGAAAATAGAAGAGGTGCCAGAACTCACGTTGCCTATCATCAAGCCCAACAGAGATTACTTCTGTCAGTACTGTGATAAGGTATGGAAGAAAGTCACCCATCAGAGGCTAGTGCAGTCCTGGATGTGTGTGCAGCCAATTTGTCTGCGTACAGGAGCATCTGGCAAGGCTGGTAGCCTTCTGGAGAAGCTTGCCAGCATTTGCACTGCCTGCAAGGAATTAAGGTGAAATGCACTTAAGCTAAAATATCTGGATGCTGACTGAAGATTTCAATTCTTTTCTGGCTTCAGAGCTGGTAGATGTGAAATACTCTGATCCGGCAAACGGTGACGCGCTCCTAGTCCTGAAGCTCCTTAAGAACTCGGTCTGTCTGTATGTCCAGGATGCTGTTATACCCTCTCACCTTAAATCTTTACCCTGCAGGTGTACAAAAGTGCCAGCAAGCGCAAAGCCCACATCCTGAAGAACCACCCGGGCGCGGAGCTACCCCCCAGCATCCGCAAGCTGCGCCCTGCGGGCCCGGGAGAGCCGGACCCCATGCTCAGCACCCACACACAGCTCACAGGCACCATCGCCACCCCGCCGGTCTGCTGTCCTCACTGCTCCAAGCAGTACAGCAGCAAGGTAGAGCCTCGTCCTGCTGTGGGGTTGTGATCCCTCTGTCCCCAAGCTCTTTTATTTTGAGTCATGGCACTGGCTTTGTGCTGTTCATGCAAGCACAGCCTGCTCATGCCATGCTTGAAAGCACAAATGGAAAGTGGGGTCACCAACAGGAAGGTTGCAGGCCCTCTAATGTGCTTCTCCATCTCTCTGCAGACCAAAATGGTACAGCACATCCGCAAGAAGCACCCCGAGTTTGCTCAGCTGCCCAACACGATCCACGCGCCGCTGGCCACTGCTGTCATCAGTTCCACTCCTGCTGTTCTGACCACTGACAGCACCACCGGAGAGACTGTTGTGGTAAGGAGGCAAGGGATGTTACATTAAAGGGAGGCAAGTGGCAGGCGTTGGGTTACAGCGTGTGTTAGGGTGTTGCTTGCGATCACTTCTGTGCTTGAATTGATGCTTCTTTGTTTCTGTTCTGTGGGGAGTGACATATTTCTCTTTTGGGGGGCTCTATGGATGTGTCTGTCTTTTGTGCTCCCTTCCTTTCCTTCCTTCAGACCTCCGTGTTGGTGATTCCACCTGATATTTGCATATGTACCTAAGTAACACAGGAAAATACCTCACCTGGAATACAAATGCTTCACTGGGATGCTTCAGCTGAGGTGCTCTCTGGTATATAGTTGCCAGTGGCTTGAGGACTGGATCGAACTCCCATTTGCTGGATCTCTGAAATCCTTTGGACAGGGCGGCTGCAAAAATAATAATAAAGTTCTGTTAGCCACAGATTTAAACCTTTTTATTTATGTTGTTAACCCTGCATTTCTGCCCCTTCCCAGACAACAGATTTACTGACGCAGGCGATGACAGAGCTGTCACAGACCCTCACCACGGACTATCGAACCCCTCAGGGGGACTACCAGCGCATCCAGTACATCCCCGTGTCCCAGTCCACAACTGGCCTGCAGCAACCTCAGCACATCCAGCTGCAGGTTGTTCAAGTGGCTCAGGTGGGTAACCCACCGCAGGGCTTCCTGCTTTTGAGCCTCCCTGTATCAAGCCTGCGCTGCCTCGGGGCTGCCCTTCAACATAAAGGGGTTGATAATGCATAGGATTTGATAATTGTACTGGATATAGGGGTCCTGCAAATCTTGGTCAGCTTGTCTTAAAACAGCCCTGATTTAGTTCATGCTGCCTGGGCACCGGCTGACTGTTTTGTGGGCAGAACAGAAGCAGCTCTCAGGCAAAGGCCATTGCAGGACAGGCCCTGCAGCAAGTGGCAAAGTGGGTCACTGGGTGACCTCTCCTTGGCTGCGAGGACTCATTTGGGCTGCTTTGTCCTCAGGGAGCCAGAACCCAAATTTAAAAGAACAGCAAGTGTTTGCTTTCCTGCTGTATTGTCTATTAGCAAGCTCATTCTCTGTCACACTTGGCAATCTCTGAAATATAAAAACAGAGCATAACAAGAGTAATGGAGCTGTGGGAAATTATATTCAGGTAGCCCTAAGTAGTCACCCTCGTCTTCATTTCTCTTATCCTTCAGATGAACCTGAAATTGTCACATGCTTGTATGTGAATCTGAATTTCAGTGTTTTCTCTGGCTCCTCATTGCAAATTTGCTTACAAATTTGGCTAATAATAGCCTAATCAATGACCCTAGTTAACATGGAGGCTGCTTTAACAGTGCAAGTAATGATTCCTGCAGCTCATATTAATTTTATGAGGCTCTGAGGCTTGTAATTAAATTACTCTAATGACCAGGTGTTGTTTCAGAATGCTTTTCATCAGTACAACTCCAAACACTGTTTTCTTGCTATAGATCTCTGTCAGACTTGTTTTCAGATATGCGGATCTTGGGTTTATATTACATAGAAGGATGCCTTTGAAGGATGGTCCAGGGGTTTTTCCATGTATTTCTGTTCAAGTCCAGCTTCTGCTAGACCAGACAACTTAAATGACCTTAGGCGAGTCAGTGCCATTGAAGCCACTGAGTTGTCACCATCTCAGAGACTTTGTGTCTGTTAAATGAAATTTTCTGTCTCACGGGAGTGCAGTGAGGGTAAATTCATTTAGATCAGTGGTGCTCCGTGGCCCCAGTAAGGCTCATTGCTCTAGAATCCTGCCTGATAGGAGGGTGGTTCCTTCATGTGGGGTGTTGAAGCTGGGGTGTTGAAGCAGGCAGCTCTGCTTGCATTTCTGCAGGCTACCTCACCGCACCAGGCTCAGCACTCCACGGTGGACGTCGGGCAGCTCCACGATCCCCAGACATACACCCAGCACGCCATCCAGGTGCAGCACATCCAGGTCACGGAGCCGGCCCCGGCAAGCCAGCCTTCAGCACAGGTACCCCACTCTCTTCTCTTACACAGAGAGCTTTGCAGTTCTTTGGCTTAACATACCAAGAAATGCCCTATTTTTCCTTGATAAAGAGGGTATGAATATAACAGTGTAGAGTTTCGTAAAACCCTGAATGTTTTTTTCTTACCCTCCCTCGCCGTTGTGATGGCTTTTTAGGCTGGGGGTCAGCCCTTGAGTCCCTCCTCCCAGCAATCTCAGCAAGAGCTCAGCCCCTCGCAGATGCAGCCAAGTGCATCCACGCCAAATCCAGCCCTCCAGCAGCAGCAGCAGGGTTCTTCAGTGCAGCACACGTATCTTCCTAGCACATGGAATTCATTTCGGAGCTATTGTAAGTGTCTGTGGAATCTCTCCCTGGAGCTCTATATTGGTATATTGTCCATTTCTCCAGCTAGCAAATGGGACAGTAATTCCAGAGCTCATGAAGCTTCCTCGGTATGCATAAAGGTCTAGGAAGATGCATAGTTACACCCAAAAGAAGTGGTGGTACAAGGGCATTGAAAGCAGCTTGTTTGAATTCAGATGGATGCTTGAATTGTGGAGAAGAGGAGGGTGACATGAAATGTGACCATGCAGCTCTGGAGAGTGTTTGGGGGATTTCTTCTTGAGGGAAAACAAGACCTGATTTAGCAGAGAAGGGTCCAGTTCCACATGCATATGTTAGTTGACATAGTTCTGTTGAGACCCGTAGAACTATGGGCTTCTTACTACATGGATTTCTGCTTGGCAGCTGCCTTTGTTTTGGGTCCTGGGCTTGTTAATGTGTGCACCGTTATCACTGTTGCCTTTCCAGGTGGTCTCTGAGGTTATAACTCAAGGTAGTGATGCTCTAACTTCCCTTTTCTAGCATCTGAGATTCAGATGATGGCCATTCCCCAAGGCCAGTACGTGATTGCAGAGACAGCTGTAGGTACTCCTGTCACGACTGTCAACACGGGGCAAGTGAAAGCAGTTACACAGGTAAGGAGTGTGATTATGGTTTGGTGTTGGTGTGTTTTTGCTTTTGTGGCCACAAAATAATGCATCAGGTTCAAAGCCTTCCCTTTGAGGGTTAAAAGAATGCCAGAATGATGATGGGAAGGGCACAGAGAACAGAGAGGAGTTGTGCATCTAAACGGGTCCAGATTGTGGAGGTGAAACGAGAGTCATAGCAGATGTGAGGTGAAACACAATGACTGCTTCCCTTTTATTATTCCCCGTGCAGACTCACTATGTGATATCCGAAGGTCAGCCCGATCTGGATGTCAAACAAAACTCGGCGCTCTCCGGTGAGGTACAGGTCGGTGTCTCCCAGCCGTCGGGCCACCCTGATACCTTGGAATCTCAAACGAGTAACCAGCAGCAAACCACCCAGTACATAATCACTACAACCACCAATGGGAACGGGGGCAGTGAAGTGCACATCACTAAGCCAAGAACTTTCTCAGCAGAACATGAGTGAAGAAACCCTGTGGTGTCATTTGCTCCTATTTTTTGACCTCTCCCCAAAGCCCAGATGTGTGGGCGTCCTGGAGCTCGTGGGATTTAACGTGTATGCTCCCTTCAGCTAAAATCTTGGAGCTCTTGTTAATGCTTTAAGAGGGTTTAAGTCCCCTGTGACAATGAAGAAGCACCCTCCAAATCCTTCTGGGATGCCACTTTATGCAGCTTTTAACAAAAAGGACAAGAAGAGAAAGGGAATCTCTGCTTGCCCTGGACTTCAATTTTTTTGGCATGTCTGCTGACCCTTATTTTTCCTTTTTGGAAGCGTCTCCAGTACAACACTTATTTCAGTGGTATGGGGAAAAGCTTGGTTGGAGGCTAACTGGCAGATTATGTTCTATGTATATTTTCACTAGGAGCTGTTAAACAAGAGGACATCATGTAAATTGCTGGTGTATGGCAGAACTGCTTCCTGTGTGTTTGTTTCAGCAGCCGAGGTGAAAGGGAACGTGCCAGCTCCGTAGCGAGCAGACTGCCCGGAGAAAAAGAGCAGCAGCCAAGTGGGGACTCCTTGTGTATGTTTGTGGGGATCGAGAGAGCATCGAAGCTGTGAAGCTGTGCAGAAGCAGTCCATTAAATTATTATTTTTCCAATCCTCTAGAACTGTTTACATGCTGTCTGCTCGGCCCTACCTTACCAAGCAGTTCAGAAGAAGGAGAAGGGCTGTCTTAAGCCCTTGTTGTCTGGAACAAGCTGATTGAAATCAGAGTACCTAATGGTAGGACGGAGCCACTCTTGTCTCTTTCCCTCCTGCATTTGCAGGGAAATTTTTTGCCATAGCCTGCAGAGCAGCTTCTGCTGTGACCTCTAATGATGCTTGTGTCAGGAGAAGATGAGGGTAGGAGAAAGAGAATAATCCTCTTTTTGATTTGGAGGTTATACAATCAAAGGGCACTGAAGCCTGTGCTGTGTTTTTGCTGTTGGAGACTTGCTTGAACATGCAGCATTTGAAGAGAACCTGTCTAAAACCAACTCCAGGGCAAGCCTCCCAAGTCACAGGGTAGTTGTCTCTGTTGCTACCCCAAATTGGATGTTTTTTTTTCCCCTTGAAGACTGGATGGAGAGCTGGTTACTCTTTTTTTTCCAAATACCATGTTAACAACACCCTAATTCTTGTGGACCGTTTCATAAAATGACCGGCCCTGGACTCAGGAAAAGAAAAATACTAGTGGACCACTATTACAGGAGGTAGAAAGCCATCCACAAGAGTTGCCTGCTTTGGTAGACCTGGTCTGTGTATAGAATTCATGCTTAGGGACCAGGAGACATGGGGAGAGAAGTTTTATCTTTTAAGGCAGTGTAATTTTTTTCTGGTGTAATTCCCCTTCATGGGTCTTGTAGGTTGGTTATTTAAAGCATTTTGGTATTGGCAAGGATGACTGCAGCTCCATGTACTGTCAATGAGATATACTGTATGTGTCTAACCCTCCATTCACTCTGCTTGAAAACTCACCCCAGAACATCAGTGCATATTATTTAAAAACAATAAGTTTTGTCTTTATGGTCTTTGAGACCTAAGAGCTAGGAAAGGATCTCTATTTTATTTTGTGTGTGTGTGTGTGTGAATTCACTCTGTGCTGTGTCGAGGGTGAATCTGCCATTCCTTTACCCAAGTACTCCCAAGATTTAGGTGAGCATTTCCATATGGAAGTGCTAACAGGATACAGTATCAAGCCTTTTGGTGGCGAAGCTTTTAAATACAAGAATTAAACACTCAACGAGCAGAAACCTTGTTACTTGCTGGCAAAGCCTTGTAGCACCTTTTGCTTTTGGGAAATAATGTATCTGTCACCTATGGTGGGGAAATAGTGACTTGCATGATGAGATAAAATCTTATTTAACATACTAGCCAGCTCAGAATGGCCTGCACAGGGAACCTGGGATTGATTTGGCAAAACGTAGATGAATTTGTGCCTGGGATTTTGATTCTGTATCAAGGCATTAACAGGTGGGGCACTTACATGATTTGTAGAAGGTGCTGAGGACCTGAGCTCCCCTCTGGTCCATTTTGGTGATGATTGCTGTTGAATTGCGGGGATTTGGGCTGAGCTGAAGCCACGTTGCTGATCACCTTTGAGCATCCACGTGGGTCCCGTGGGAGAGCAGAGGGGAGCTCTCACCTTGGCTTTTTCTCTGTGCTTTATTCAGAAAAGGGTTTTTTCCCCCCCATATTGCAGGATTATTTAATTGCATTACTTGGTACAAATAGCAAACAGGAGACCTGGAAATGGCGTGTGGTGCTGGAGCACTTTGGAAGTCTTCAACTGCTCTGTATGGGTGGAGATCCAGGCCTTTCTCCTTAAGGATTTTTCCAGGTGCCATCCCAGCCTTGAGGACGCCGCTGTTTGTACCTCTAAAAGCTGGAAAGCTCCTGGGCAAAGACCATGGCGAAACCTTGTGCAAGAGCCCCCTGCTCGACTCCAACGCAGCCATCCCGCCGTGGGAATCGAGTATCATGGACATCCATGCGGGAATAACCAGCTGGCAGCCACAGGCAGGAGAAAAGGCCGTGGTGGGTAGCAAGGAAGCACCATGCCTGCTTTTACAAAAGGAAGGGAAAACAGGACATTTTTATTTTTTTCTTCCTCAGACTTCTGCAGTGCAGAAGATGAATTTTCCTTTTTGTTCGTTGCTTTTTTTTGTCAATATTCCCAAAGATCTGTCTCCAACACCTGCCTGGGGTCCCTGGGGGCTCCTCAAGGTCGGTGCAAGGTCTGTCGGGTCCTGGATCCTGGCTTTTCCTGGGAAAAGGGGCTGGAAAGCTGGTGTCCCTGCCTCCCCCTCCCCTTCTCCTGTTATTTAACTGTGTCTGTTCCTTGTCCATGCGGTGACTGTCATAGTGTGCATAGTCTTGTGCGACCTGCCACGTGTAAAAATAAGAATAAACCTTTTCTTCCTTTTTTTTAAAAAAAAATATATGCACTTTGTGTTGCTTTATGCTGCGGGCGCCACCGTTTCGGCTAATTTTAAGGTAGGATCGCGTCATAACACCGAAAAAAAAGGGAATAAAAGCGTTTCCTCGGCGTTACCTCAGGGCCCTTCCCGGCCTCCCCCGCGCTGCGCAGTGCGCAGGCGCCGCCCCCCGTGCGCAGGCGCGGCCTCCCCCCACTTCCGGTGCGGGGGGGTGGGCGCCGCGCACCGGCTCCTTCCCACCCCCCCCCCGCGGCCCAACGGCCGTTAACGGTCGCGCCGGGAGCCGGTAACGGTCGGGACGGGGATAGAGGAGCGGGGGGGAGGCTGGTGCCGGCCCGGGCCGCGCGGAGCGGAGGCCTCGCGCGCTCCGTTGCGGCTGCAGCCGCCCCCGAGGCGGTTGCTGGCGCGGGGACCCGGCCCCGGGGCGCTTGGGGCCCTGCGGAGAGGCGGGGAACGCGGAGGCCGCGGCCGCCCTGGGGAGCGGAGCGGTCTCCGCAGGGCTGCCTTGGCCCTACGTGTGGTTTTGCAGTCGCAAACCCTTGGAAAACGTAAACGTTGGCGCTTTTCCAGGGTATTCCGTGCTGAAACAGCTCCTGAGGGTGAGGAGCAAAGTTAGAGGGGGCACTGGGCTGCTAGGAAACGTTGCGTTTCTGTGCACAGGGTGCCTTGTCTCGAAAAGCTTTCCTTGGGTGTGCAATCCGTCAATCCATCTCATTCTCCCATAGAAACTAAACCTGCCGCGCAGGGCCCTTTGCAGCAGAATTGATTTGTGCTTAACGCTCCATCCCGCGTGTTTCCTACAGCGTGGTTTTTCCAGAGCGCGCCCGCATCGGGGACCTGCAAGCTTGGGCTCACGTGGCTTCTGCTTCGGGCGCGTAGGGAGGGCGGCGGGCGCAGAGATGGACTCGCTGGATCACATGCTGACCGACCCGCTGGAGCTGGGAATGGAGGGGAACGGCACCCGGATCATGGAGGACTGCATGCTGGGTGGCACCAGGGTCAGCCTGCCCGAGGACCTGCTGGAGGACGTGAGTTGAGCAGCATTAACCTTCATTTCCTTCCCTTTCCTCTCTGTATTGCACTCCTTTCCATTTTTTTTCACTAGAAGAATCCCTGTTAAAGCTGCTGGATGCAGTTTCATCCCTCCTGTTTTGTGCTTTCTTTAGCCTGAGATCTTTTTCGAAGTTGTTAGCTTGTCTACGTGGCAGGAGGTGCTGACAGATGCCCAGCAGGAGCACCTCAAGAAATTCCTGCCGCGCTTCCCGGAAAACAACCGAGAGCATCAGAACAAACTCATCTCCGCGCTGTTCAGCGGGGAGAACTTCCGCTTCGGAAACCCACTGCACATCGCGCAGAAGCTTTTTCGGGGTCAGTGGCCATCATATGTCCAGCATATTCTCAGAGTCATCTTTTTCACTTTGAGCTGACGAAAACTAGAACAATTTTAACCCCCTTTTTGCCTTCCAGATGGACACTTTAATCCTGAGGTGGTCAAATACAGGCAGCTGTGCTTCAAGTCCCAGTACAAGCGCTACCTGAGCTCTCAGCAGCAGTACTTCTACCGCCTGCTCAAGCAGATCCTGGCGTCCCGCAATGTGAGTGTCTGCAGGGTGCAGTCCTGCATTCTCTGATGCTTTCTTTGCAACAAGGGTGTTTTTTTTGCAAATGTCTTGGTATTTGTGCATTCACAATTCTTAGAGTTATCCATTTTAATAAATGCTCCATGCCTGACTTGTCAGTGGCCTCCATAAGATCACTTCAACGTTTTTCATATTCATAAAGACGTATATCAAACTTCAGGCTTTGAAATTCTTCATTTTTTCTACTTACTCTTTTTATTAAGCTTAGACATTCAAGTGTATGAGATGTACAGATGAAGAAGAAAGCCTGCCTGTCTTTTATAAAACCCCTTGCAGGTTTAAGGAAAAATGAGCAGAGAAGTGAACGGGAAGATATTTTCTTTGTTATCCCAAGGGATGAAAAGCTTTCCTCAAAAGAAGCTGGATTACTATGTTACTGTTATATCTTTGGTGCAAAAACATCACAGTTGAACCCCGCTGAGATGTTGTAAACGCAGAGGAAGGTGTAGAAATCCTTTCTAAGATTCCTTTGGTTTTAAAATCAATTAGTCCTTTTGAACTCCTACCCGTCTTTTCTTGCAGTACTTGCTGGATTTAGCCAGGAGAGGAGGGCCTGAGATGGCCCTGAAGAAAAGGCGCTTCTCACCGGTGTGTGACACGGAGGAACGGGACCGGCGGACCCACCGGCGCTACTTGAAGATCCTGAGGGAGGTGAAAGAGGAGTGTGGAGACACTACCTTGTCTTCTGATGAAGAAGGTAATGCTCTAGAGAGCACTAAAGGTTTGGAATGACCATGGGGAGAGCTGAATTTTTGATAGGAGGACAGTGCCTTTGATAGAAGGGTGGAAATGGGGCTCCAGTTCCACTGGGTGCGCTCTGATGAGTGTGAAGAGAGAGAATTAACTCACTTTGGAGGTGCTTTCACAGAAACTTGTTTCTTTCTTTATTGAGATCTGAGCTCCTGGTTTCCAAGTTCTCCGGCTCGTTGTCCAAGTCCAGCAGTTCCGCTGCGAGTGATCCCCACGTTATCCACTATGGACATGAAGACAGCAGGTGAGAGCCAAAGTAGGGGGGAAATAAAGATTTGAGGGGTGATGATTCCCTTTGGACTCTGAGAAATCAGATAGGAAAAGCTGCAAGTTTTCATCTGAAATAACCATCTCCAAAACACCCGGAAGCCTAAAGTAACATCGTGGGAAAACGTGCAAATAATCTGGGAACTTTTTTCGTTGCAGATAAGATAGAACTTGGGGAAAGCGACTTGAGGATGATGTTGAAGAAGCACCACGAGAAACGAAAACGTCAGCCGGTAAGATACCGAGAAATCAGAGGGTTTGGACTGGAATTTTGCTCTTTTATTTGTTTGTTGTGAAGGGCGTTTTGGCTGTTTTCGTATCTGCCTGCCATTCCACTGTTAATCATAGCCATATTTAATTATAAGAGGATGCATATGTCTTTTTTGCATAAAGTGTTTAAACAAAAGCTTAGATGCCAGAATAAAGAGGTTTCTCTGCTTATAGTAAATAGCTTTACAAACCAACCATGGCTAAGTTTGGGGCAACTATTTAGTTATCTGCTGTATCCTTGTTGCTGTCTTTACCCTTTTGCTTTCCTGTTTTTCATTTCTTGTCACTGTAGGACCACCCAGATCTAATGACAGCCGACCTGACGCTTGATGACATTATGACTCGTGTAAACGCTGGCAGGAAAGGTTCCTTGACAGGTCGGTGGTTTGTTTTGATGTATAGATAAGTTTTCCTATCAAAATGGGGACAGTGAGGAAGAAAAGGGCTCATATAAGTAACTACAGGAGTGGAATCCAGTGGTGAATGAGTGCAGTCAATATGTTTCTGAAAATAGGTTTAGATTTATAGTTAGTTTACACGTATTAAAATCCAGTAAGATGGTTTCTCATAGTTTTTCTTACCCTTTATTGCATCTAAAGCCTTATTTGACCTCGCCACCCTGAAGAAAAAGGTGAAAGAAAAGGAAGACAAGAAGAAAAAGAAACTGAAAATGATTAAATCCGAGGTGGAAGATTTGGCCGACTCCCTAAGCAACATGGATGGGATCCCACCAATGTCTCAGGGTCCTTCTCCCATCCCTCTGTCGTCTGTCAAAGAGGAGTAAGTGCTTTGTAGAGGAATTTCCTATTTGAGCCAGAGAGACAGTGGCCCCCTGTAATTGTGCACGTTTTTGAATGGATACATCCAAAATGTGGGATGTATAAAACCTGCAGTGTTCATCTCTATGTATGAAGGTAAATATTTAATCAGGAAAATTTACTTGTGTTTTCTTTCCTCTGCAGACCTCTTGAAGACATGAAGCCGTGCCTTGGAGTGAATGAAATATCTTCCAGCTTCTTTTACCTTCTTTTGGAGATTTTGTATCTGGAAGGACCTGCTAGTCTCTCTGTGGTAAGGAAGCACCCACGTATCTTACAGGAAGCTTCGCAGAAGGGAGAACCGGGGAATAGATTTTCTCTGGAAATATTCTGCTATAAATGATATAAACATAGATTAGAAATTAACCCCCGTTACAGCACTTAGGAAGTGTGTTCCACATTCTGTTTTTAACATATTTCCAAAAGTGAGTCAATTCAGATTGTAAATACCTCTTTCCATAGCCATTCTCATAGGTTATGGTTACCTATATTATATATATTAGAGCCAATGATATTGTGGGATATCAATGTCAATTATCTGAAATAAAGTCTTATGATGACTTGAAATAGAATTTTTTTTCTATGCGTGCATACATATATTTATTTTCCCTTGATGTGTTTAGCCATTCTGTTTTCTTTTTCTATTAAAACATTCACAGTTCAAATTATGATATTTGTAATAGGGCTCTTTTTTTTTTTTTTCTCTTTTTCTCTTCAGCTTGAGGATAAAGTTCTAGATTGGCAATCTTCTCCTGCCAGCACACTGAATAACTGGTTCTCCTTTGCCCCCAACTGGTCTGAATTGGTTCTGCCTGCCTTGCAGTACTTGACAGGAGACAGCAGAGGTAAGAGAGCTAAAAATAATTCTCATTTCTGATCGGTGCTGGTTTAAATGTTAACTCCAAGGACAGACACTGTTAGGGCTGTCACACTGTCATTTTCTCCTGTCTATGAGCCTGTGCTTGAAAAGAGAAGAGACTTTTTCTTTTCTTGGGGCCAGGAGGTTGTGGTTGTGTTTGGAGATGATCAAAATCAGCTAGATGAGGTTCTGGGCAATATGGAAACCTGAAGTTGGCCCTAGCGGTTGGACTAGCCATGCTCCAGAGGATGCTTTCAGCCCAAATTATTCTGTGATTCTCATTTGCTTTAGCTGGGAGCTTTAAAGGAGGAAACAGGAAAGATTGTAATATTTTTTGCTGGTGAATACTGTAAATCTCAAGTCACAGGAGGCCAAGAATTCTCACTGTACAGTAACAATTTCTGTTGCTTCAGTGCTTGAAAAGGATCTCATCTGACAGCTTGTAGATGAAAGACTCTTTATCCTGCTCTCGTCTTTTCTACCTCTGTTGCTCTGAGATGCTCACCTCCTTTTTGGGAAGTGTACGTTTAGAGATGCACTTATAGAATCACTTGGAATGTTTTACCTGTCACTGCAAGTCTAACTGAGCGGCTTGTAACGTAACAGTAGGGGTTTGAGGATGCACCAGTATCTGATGTCTAGGAAATGTGTGTCTTTCGTTGCAGATGTTCCTTCCAGCTTCTCCCCTTTTGTTGAATTCAGGGAAAAAACTCAGCAGTGGAAATTGCTTGGTGAGTAAGTTCAGCTTTTCTGGGATTTCTGCTATAGCAAAGCTTGGCTGTTTTCTCCAGGCCTTCCCATTTCAGCTCGCTGCAGCCCGGAGAGCCAAGCAGAAAATGGTTATTTCATTAGTTAGGACCTTTCTCTCCTACTTGTGCAATAATGTGTTTAGCTTCAGCACTGTAATTGTCAGCAAAGAACAGAGAGACTAACTGAGCAAAGGCACTAGGCTTTATTTCTTCCTGTTACTGATCCAACCATGTTTTTGCACACCCTTCAAAGCTAGGAGCATTAGGCAGTAGGCAAAACTTTCTGTTTTATTGTGATTTTTGGTCACATTGTGATTAGGTTCTTGCCATGATCACGAGAAGGAATTGGCAGCGCTTTTCCAGCTCTGGCTGGAGACCAAAGACCAGACTTTCTTCAAGGTGAGTCAGAAGAATCACCTTTTAGTAGCACAGAACTCGAGTAATATTGAATATTGACTTATCCCTGGGGTTTTTTTTTTTGATAGGAGAATGAAGACAGCTCAGATGCCACAACACCAATTCCCAGGGTGTAAGTAGATACCATCAATTGAAAACTTGTAGCTAAGGAGTATGGTTCCTGCACCTCTGGCTTTGAACATTTAGCTACTCAAAATTGAAGTATTCTTTAGAATTCCTTCTTTGGTGTGACAAAAAGTTGCAGAAAGGGCAAGAGGGCTAATTCCTTGGGATATCCCTTGGAATTGTGGTTGTGCTGGTGTTGCACAGAACTGATGATGATCTTTGTTTCAGAAGGACTGACTATGTAGTCCGACCTAGCACTGGAGAAGAGAAACGTGTTTTTCAGGAGCAGGTAAGAGGAGAATCTTCTCAATTTTAGACTCACGTGTTGTAACACTTCTGGCACCTAAACGGAGTCAGCTGAGTGCTCTCTGGAAACTTAGCTTAATGCAAAAATAACAAATGTCTTCAGCTTCCAAGTAGGCATATCAGTGTTTTTTGTCTTAATAATAGTAGCGATTTATTTATATGGTGGTGTAGTATATCACAGTGTAAATGCTCTGTCTCTTCATGGCTCGTGCAGCCCGAGCTTGAGGACTTTTCTCCGCGTTTCCTGCTGAGTTGTGTCCCTCTTGTTTGCCCACACAGGAGCGGTACCGTTACAGCCAGCCCCACAAGGCTTTCACCTTCCGGATGCACGGCTTCGAGTCGGTGGTTGGGCCTGTGAAGGGGGTGTTTGACAAGGAAACCTCACTAAACAAAGCCCGAGAGCATTCTCTCCTGCGCTCAGACCGACCAGCGTATGTCACCATCTTGTCCCTTGGTAAGAGTGAGGCTAAAGCACACAGAAACTGAAGAATTTGGATAAAATTAGAGAATTTAAAGCTCTGATTTCTCTGTTGCAGTTCGTGATGCTGCTGCTCGCCTTCCTAACGGAGAAGGAACCCGTGCTGAGATCTGTGAGCTGCTGAAAGACTCCCAGTTCCTAGCCCCCGATGTCACCAGTGCTCAGGTGAGCTGGATGTCACCTCTTGCCTCCGGCAGACACTCCTAAAATACACTGTGCAGATCCAGAGAGTATTCACTGCCTTAGTAACTCTTATACTCCCTGTACTTGCAAAGGAGGGTTGTTATTTATGTCATTCTGGTGAGCTGCAGCTTTCCTGAACTCTGGATGATGGAAAAGCAGCCAAAAAAGCCACGTAATTAATACCATGTCATGCAGCAGCTCTTAGTTTAGACTGAGAAAACTGTCAGTTCTCAGACACCAGCGCTGGCTGAAATTCCATTTAATCTGAATAGGTGAGCAGCACCTTCTGCTGCAACATCTGCTCTTTAAGGCCAGTCCACCCTTGCTCAGATGAACATTGCTAGCAAAATTGGCAAGTTTTGTGCCAAATAGGATTGACTTTCCTGGTCATGAGCTTTGGCCAGCTGAAGTTGAGGCATCCTGTAACCCCGTGAATTCTCAATTTCCAGGTTAATACTGTTGTCAGTGGCGCTTTGGACCGTCTGCATTATGAGAAAGACCCTTGTGTGAAGTACGATATTGGCCGCAAGCTGTGGATCTACCTGCACCGGGACAGGAGTGAGGAAGAGTTTGGTAAGGCTGCCTTGCTGATACTGCCCAATTCTGGCTTTTCCAAAGCAAAGATGTTTATAAAGCTCTTTATCAGTCCAGCTTTTTTCTTTCTGCAGGCAGTTGGCTAAGGTTAGACCATCAGCTAAGTCCAGTCCTACATTGTAATGTGTCAGTTTGGACTATGAGATTAGATTTTGTTAGATTTTACAGGGAGTTTACAGTGTTGGATGGCCGCTCTCTTAACTCACTTTGCCTGTGCTCAGTTCAGGAACTGTAACTTAGCAATTTATGTTTGCAGAACGGATTCACCAGGCTCAAGCTGCTGCAGCAAAGGCCAAGAAAGCTCTACAGCAAAAGCCCAAACCTCCAGCGAAAATGGTAAGGTTGTTTGCACAGGTTTTCCTAGGTGGCTTTAGGATTGGGAATGAGATAGGGGCTTAATTTAAATTAATCCATAAGCTCTGCATCTCTAGTGGATAAAATGTACCTCCTATTTGAGTTATCAGTTACTTGTGTGCATGTGGAGGCGAGTGTTAGGACTGTTAGGAGAGGGAAGGGCACAAGTTCTGCTTCTAGCAGCAGCCCCCCTGCTTTACGTGGCTCCTTTGCAGAAGTCGAGCAGCAAGGAGAGCTCAGCAAAAGCCCTGCCTAGCAGCAGCGCGGAGCCCGGCCAGCTGAGCCTCAGCGACTCCAGCCTGCCGCCAACGCCGGTGACGCCCGTGACGCCGACGGCGCCGGCCTTGCCCGCCACCCCCATCTCCCCGCCGCCCGTGGCCGTGGTCAGCAAGGGCGGCCCCAGCGCCGCGCCGGAGCCCGCGAAACCCAGCCAAAGGTCTGCTCACCTGCCGTGTGTCTCTCTCGGGAACCTCTCGCGCTGCCTCGCTCGCCTCCAACATCCTTCTCCCCTCCGCAGCGTCCTGCTGGTGTCCTCCCCCGCCGTGCCGCAGCTGGGCACGTTGCTGCCGGCGCCGCAGGGCTCCCCGGCGCAGGCGCCCGCGGCGCCACCCTCGGGCCTGCCCCAGGTGCGAGTGGTGACGGCCCCGAGCGGCCTCCCCGCTGCGGCTCCGCAGGCGCCCGTGGTCACCCAGCAGCAGCAGCCGCCCACGTCCACGCCTCAGATCCGCGTCCCGGCCACGGCCTCGCAAACCAAAGTGCTGCCTCAGGTGAGGGAAGCAGCGGAGCAGCTCGCCGGTCTGTCCTGTGGGGCTCCGCAGTGGTGTCCAAGTGGTGAACGGGGCTTTTCTGCCTCCTTGGAACATGCAGTTAGCTGCAGGACAGGAGCCTGGAAACAGTTGGGCATAATACTCAGGGATCCCCATTTTGCTCCCCTTTTATTTCTGTGATGCTGCTAGTATAATGTAACAGCCGAAAACATCCGTAGAACTTTAAGACATGGCATGAAAAGAATGAGAGTCAATCTGTTAGTGCTGCTTTAGGCTGTCCCTAAGCTGCCCTCGTGTCTTGCTGCAGGCTGTGATGACCTTGCCAGTGAAAGCTCAAAGCAGCCCCGTGCAGGTGCAGAGAGCGGCAGCCTCCGTGCCGGGGCAGGCGGGCATCGCCGTGGCAGGGCTGTCCGCAGCTCCCAGTGCTGCTGTGAAACCGGTAACCAGCTCTCCGGGCAGCTCTGCTCCAAGCACCTCCTCTCCCACTGTCATCCAGAACGTGGCTGGCCAGAACATCATCAAGCAGGTGAGGGGGGAGCGCGGGGACTCGCTCGGTGTCGTGGCTGTTCCCTGCTTTTGACAGGCGAATATTTAAAAATCAGGCAAGTTGGAGGGAGCCGTGTGACTTGATTCAGCTCCTCTGGGGAGGTTGGTTTTGTTTCTGGTTGTCCTGTGCTCGGGTTTGCTAGAGTTGCCTCTCATCTCTTGCAGGTGGCTATTACAGGGCAGCTCGGCATGAAGGCCCAGCCGGGAAGCGGTATCCCCCTCACAGCCACCAATTTTCGGATCCAGGGCAAGGACGTGCTGCGCCTGCCGCCCTCCTCCATCACCACGGACGCCAAGGGCCAGACAGTGCTGCGCATCACGCCGGACATGATGGCCACGCTGGCCAAATCGCAGGTCACCACCGTGAAGCTCACGCAGGACCTGTTCACGGCGGCGGCGGGCAGCGGCGCCAGCAGCAAGGGCCTCTCTGCCACGTTGCACGTGACCTCCAGCGCCGTCCAGCCCGCCGACTCTCCGGCCAAAACCAGCGCGGCCGCTTCCAGCGCGCCGGGGAGCACCATGGTCAAAGTGACTCCCGACTTAAAGCCCGCCGAGCCCCCGAGCTCAGCCTTCAGGCTGATGCCCGCCCTGGGCATGACGGTGGCGGAGCAGAAGAGCAAAGCGGCCCCCACGGCGGCAGCCAGCGAGGCCAAGGCGGCCGCCACCATCCGCATCGTGCAGGGGCTGGGGGTGATGCCCCCCAAGGCCGGGCAGGCCATCGCCGTGGCCACGCACGCCAAGCAGGCGCCCGCTTCCTCGGCTGGGAGCGTGGCTGGCGTGGCCAGCGCCGCGGGCTCGCTGCCCGCCGCCTCCAAAGCGGTGGCCGTGGCCTCGGCCGCCGCCGGCACCCCCATAACGTTGGGCCCCGGAGCCAGCGCCGTGCGGCAGGTGCCCGTGAGCACCGCGGTGGTGTCCACGTCGCAGGCTGTAAGTAACGCTAAGCTGCTTCTGGAGGGAGCGGACAAAGGGAGGTGAATGTTAAAGGCTTATAATTCCAGGCTCCACTTATTGTAAAGGCTCTAAAATCCAACCCTTATCGTGTTGGAATCCAACTCACCTCATTGTGTTGGAATTGTGGTGAAATGCTGAATGACCAGGGCAGCTTTTGCCTTCCCTTAGCACCTGCTGAGAGTAATAGAAAATAAAATAAACTTCACTTATGTAAACTCCTCCCTCCTGCAGTTAAGCAGCTTGCCCTGCACCCTTGAAAGAGCTTCCCCTTGTGGTGGTAGCAGGACTGCATGGGCTGGCTGCTTGTTGGAACATTTTGAGTTGAATTCCCAAATTTAAGACCATTTTAATGGCTAAAGTTGACAGCACCGTATCTTGAAAGCTGAGCGCGTGAACGGACATTATTGTAGTAGGATAAAAACCACTCCTAAAACCAAAAACAGGCAAAACTCACCCAAATTGCACCGTAATTGCATGTTGTCAGGGTGTTTTTTTCTGCTCCTCATCCCCTCTTCACCTCCTCTAGGGGAAGCTGCCGGCGCGGATCACGGTGCCGCTGTCGGTGATCAGCCAGCCCGTGAAAGGCAAGAGCGTCGTCACTGCCCCCATCATCAAGGGCAACCTGGGGGCCAAGTGAGTACTTTGCATAAAACCGGGCTCTGGGAGGCCTGTGATAAATCAGGTTTTAGAGACCAGGGTATGGAAGTGCCCCGAGTCTGTTTATAGGGCCATTGATGGCAAGAAATTAAATTAATTTCATGTCTTTCAGCTCTCTCGGAGCTGAGAGAACCTGAGACGGTTCTTGGGATACGCTGCAGTCAAAAATAGTCTCTGCTTGAAAATAGAGGAATTCTGTGGGTTTGAGCAAGAATTAACCTGATGACAAAGCTAGAAATAATTGTAATCTGAGACACTCTCTCTCTATTCAAGAATGGAGCTCAGCATTGGCTGCATCCATGCTAATCCTGCTGGCATTCAGGTGTTGAAGTCTTTTTGTTTCCTCTTCCACGAATTCTGGCTGTGCCTCCCTTGGTTGCATCTTCCAGGCAGAACACTGTGTTCCCTGCTATTTTTTGCCTTCCTTGGGAAGTGCTCAGGGCTGATGAGGCTGATGCAGTGATGTGCACAGCTCAGAGCTAGTGTTTCATTCATGGGATAAAAGAATTGTCTCCTGGCGTGAGAACAGTCAACAAATACTTTTTTGTAACCTTCATTATTGTTAAGCAAAAAAACCCTTAAAATCATGAATGAATTAGTAATTTTAATCTATTAACACCTGAAGAAGTGTTTAAGCAGACCCAGGAAAGCATTTTGTATAGATGAACCTCAAATTAATGCATTTATCTCAAAGCAGGTTGTCTTATGGAACAGGACATGGGAGCTGTGGCCTGCTCTGCTCTTCCCTGACCTTTTCCATGGTTCTCTTCCCGTAGCATCAGTGGCTTGGGTCGAAATATCATCCTGACTACGATGCCTGCAGGGACAAAACTGATCGCTGGGAACAAGCCAGTGAGTTTCCTGACCGCCCAGCAACTGCAGCAGCTGCAGCAGCAAGGCCAGGCCACGCAGGTAAAAACCTAAAAGGATTCTATCATTTTGCTTTACTTAACATCTCCGTGAGGACTTCACACTTGGTGCAGGAGGTTCCATAAAAAATACATGGAGCATCTGCAGTGTTTCACCTCCTTTACCTTCCTAGCATCCCGGTAGGTTTGGAAATGCTTTTTTTTAGTGAATGTCAAACCCCAAATCCTGCCTGGCAATGTTGCTGACAGATTAAAGGATTCTTGTTGTACACTTGGCTTTTTTTGGTACTCTCTCCTTTGGGATGTGCAGGTCTGCATTTCTGGGAGAAGTTACAGCTCCTTGTTGTACATCTGTGTCTCCGGATCTTGGGATGTCTCGCCAATGTGTGAGCAACAGAGGCACTGATCTTGTGCCAGAGCCTATTTTTGATGTATTTTGCTGCTTGGTCTTGTTCATATAACTGAAGTTTGTCATGATGCAACTGGTGCAAGAGCAGGATGCAAGTGCAAAGTGTCGTGAGGTCCTTCTTGGCCTGAGTTGATTTTTTTTTCTCTTTTTCTTCCCAACAGGTGCGGATTCAAACAGTCCCGGCCTCCCATCTGCAGCAGGGAACAGTGTCTGGCACCACTAAAGCAGTCTCCACGGTGGTCGTGACGACCGCTCCATCTCCAAAGCAAACCCAAGACCAGCTATGAGCACCGGCTTGGAAGCAGATCCAGGGGCATCCCTGATTCCGTTGGCACCAGAGCAAGGGATTGGACTGAAACGCAGCACGTGCCAAAAGCAGCACGCGTGTCTGGAGGCAGCTTTGTGATGTCTAGGTAGAAATCAGCTGGGCTTACCAAACCAAGATGGTTTTGGTCCCAGTGTGTAAAGCCAAGTCTTGTGGCACTGATGGTGTAAGAAACGTCTTCCTCCTTTGTTCTCTTCCCATGCAAATGGCTTTTTTCCAAAAGCCACTTGTCATTTCTGTGCGTTTTGGGTTGTAGACCAAGCAGGTAATCTTGGGTCTTCCTTAACCAGTGAGACTTGCTTGGAGAAGGGGCAATTCTTTGGCTCTTCAGGGGCACAATGAAGATACCTCCTCCTGGAGCCTAATTGTCAAGACTTCAAGTGACTTAGACTTGGACACCCGAGTTTGTAACATAGCCTGGAAGTAGCTCTCCTAACCCATTCACTTCACTATTTATAGACTTTTTTTTTTTTTTTTTAAATCTCTCTTCCCCATCTCTCCATGTGGGAGACAGATCCCACTTCCATGTCACACGTTTGTCAGCCTTTGTTATGCTTAAAGGCAGGAAGAATCCCTCAGCAGGGCATTTTGTATGGAAAAAAATAGTAGCCACCATGGGAAAGGGTGAGAACTGGAGGAAAAACAAAATCTTTATGTGCACAAACAAGTGTGTCAACAAGTGGAGTATATTGGAAAGGAAAAGGAGAATGTTCCCCGGAAACTTCTTCCTTTAGTTTTCTTCAACTACCTTTTTATCAGGCAAAGATTGTAGCTTGTTTTATAAAAAAAAAAATGGACTGTGATTTCAAATACACCTGAGGATTTGGACAGAGGAAATGTTTTAGCCCGGCCTTTAGTTTGATTCTTCTCTTTGGAATTTTATTTTCCATGTAAATTGTTTGAATTTTGCACATAACCGGAGACAAATCTGTTGCTGTTCTGACGTGACCTGGAAGCCATTCTTTGAATGAGAAGAGATGTTGGACTAGGAAAAGAATAAAAGTGCAGAAAGCCTTAAAAATCTGCCCACCATCTCTCTGCTCTTTTCTGCTGCCTGGAGTTTTGTGTGCAATGATTGTCTGGCTTGTCAGGGGCTTATAGATTTGTCCATGTTGCTTTGCAAGGTGAAACTCCTAAATATTTTCTTTTTTAAAAAAAAAAATGGGCTTTGTTCTGAGGAAAATTGGAGGAATGAGCCTGACAGCTGAGAGAGCTCCTGTGATTTGAATTTTGGTTTGAATTTTGCCAAAATGGCTTAAACATTTTGCCTTTAAAACAATCTCTGGTGCTGGCTTTCACACCAGGCCAACAGAAATGCCCACGTGCTGCAATGCTGGGAAATCCCAGCTTTTAGAGGAGGCCCGATTCCCTTCCAGTTGCAAATGCAATTTTACTTTAAAGGTGGGTTGATCTTGACGTACCAACACTTGGAGGCCTAAAAACTGGTGTAAACCACAGGTAAGAGGAGACCTAAAAACCTACCTGGGTAAAACTTACCTGGGTAAATCCCAGGTAAGAAGTTTTTAGAACCAATTTGTTCAGCCTGAGGCCCTAGAAGTGTTCACCAAACAAACTTGCTAGGCCTTGTGGTGTTACTTATTCTCGCTGTCCGCCAGGTTGCAATTCCCAGAGCCAAACCTAGTGCTACCTGAGGAGCTGGCGAGGCCCTGGAGAAGGTGGAGGTGCTGTTTGGAGCTGGGTGAGTGCCTTGCACTGTGGTTTCTTGCTGAAATGCCACTTCCCACTTGGCCTGCTCTGCAGAAAGCACCCGTAGGGCTGGCAATAAAAGAGGAAGGCTGTTATTGCAATGAACCACTTGCCATTTTTGCCAGTTTTATGGTGATCTCTGCATGGTGCTGGCAGCCGAAAGCCCCCAAATTGTCTGCATTCCTGTTCCAAACATGTCAGGATGCGGAAACTTGAATTTTACTACAAAGACCACAGGAATCCAAGATGTACCAAGTAAAGCCTAGCAGGGCACAAGTAAAGCCTAGGAGGGCACAACCTTCAGAGCTCTTCATTTCTATATGATGTTCTTGAAAAAGTTCTCAGTGTCAAAAAGCGATGGTGTTCAAAGAGGTGGAAATTCAACCCTGCACCAATCCATGTATTGGCCTGGTATTTTTAAGTGGTCCAAGCCGTTTTCACTGACCACATCCATGCACTCAAATTTTACCATTTTTTGCCAGGAAAGATCAGGGTTGGTTGCATTAAAGCTGGATTGAATCCCTGCTTAGGCTTTTGCTCGGATTTCAGCAGCCTGCAAGGCTGTAGCATCTCCTGGGCTGGCTGGAATTTGCAGCAGAACCAGCAGAAAAAGAAAGGCCAATTCAGGCCGCGTTGCTATAAGATTAAGGCCATTTTTTGTGCTCTTTTTGTGTGTGTTTGCAATAAAAATAAAGCTACTGATAGGTTTTGACACATGCCAAGAGTGAGGGAACTCTTTGATTCGCAATCCTCTGCCCCTGATTTTTAAGGTCATTTGCGATCTGATTAGGGCAGCGTACATGGGCCCGAGGTGCCCAACACGGAGCCTGCTACAATTCAGCTGGATTTGGACCCGTTTTTCGGGATTTGGTGGAGCAGGATGATGCATTAGTTCACGTCATGCGGTGGCAGCTGCATTCTCACCATGCCCCACTAGAGGGATGGCTGCAAAAACAGGCAGTTGGTAGTGAGAAAGACCACAGGGGCTGAACTGTGCAACAACTCCAAAAAATAAAGCTACATGCCTCCCAAAAGTGAGGGAAATGAGAGGAAAATGAGAGGAGTAACCAGTGAGAGCTGCGTGGCTTGTGGGTTTTGCTCTCACTCGAGCTAACGTCATCGCTTGACTTGAACTTTGTATTTTTGTTAGTGCAAAGCTCATCCCCGCGACCAGGAGAGCGGAGCCCAGCTCCACCTCTCTGCAATAAAGGGCAGAGAAACAAAGGGGCAGCTCGGAGGTGGCGCCTGCATCTTTGCCCTGGGTAAGTCACTAAGCCTGGCTTGCTAAGCAGACGGGGCCTGACCTCCCTTTGAAACCTGGGTGTGCCCAAGAACAACGGCGTTGCAAAATAGCCCGTGCCAGAAACCAGCCCGGCCGCTCTGGGGCCCTTTGGCAAAGGCTGCTGATTCAGGGCGCCCGCAAGAGCTGCTGCTTGCAGGAGCTCGTGAAAAGCCCCCCAAATCACAGAGTCCTAGGGACACAGAGCCTACAAGGAATCTCCTAGTGCTCTGGATTAGGAAGAGAAAGGCAGGTCAATAATTCCCTTGGTGTTACAGGTGGAGAGCCCGGATACCTTGCCTGAGGCCCCAGAGCTGGAAGATTTTCGCATTCACCACCCTCCGCTCACCAGGGGTTACCAGTTCAGGTGGAAACCGCAGCGCTTCGGATGACGTTTTCCTCTCCTCCCAGTGAATCAGCCTTTTATTTACTCCCTGGAATGTGTAGTAACAGGACACCCCGGGGAGCTTTATCTCCCTCTCGATCTTTTCAGCTCCGAAGTTGCCAGACCGGATTGTGCCTTTTAGCTGCAGACACCGGGGCGGTTTCGGGGCCAGGAATCTGGGTGGGAGGGCAGTGCCAGAGAAATTTGAATTTTGGGAATCTTTAGGGCGCGCTAGAGTCGGCGAAGAAACCGCTTTGTCGCCGAGCGGGTGACTCCAGCCCGTGGTGGCCCTGGGGATGGCGGGCGCTCCTTTGCAGAGCTAGAATTCCCGGGAACGGCCTCTGTGGGAAGACATTCCTGCCGACAGGCAGCCTGCGCGCGCTCCTTGTGTAAGCAGCTGCTTTCTGCACCTCCGCTCCCTGCGTGGCCTTTCCCTGCCTCCCTCGGGACTCCTCTTTGGGTGGAATTCGCCCCGATTTCGTTCCTGCGACTTGACTGCGGTGGGGACAGAGCAGGACTTGGCTGCCCGAGGGGAAATGGAGCCTGAAGGGAGCGATCTCCTTCCTCCCCAAGGTGCGCGGAGCCCCGGCGTGCCGCTGTCGCGGTCCCGCGGCCACGCTGACACCGAGGGACAAGCGGAGCAGGAACAGGCGGCAGCTCCGCTGCCATGAACCCACCCAGGCGACAAGAGCCGGCGCCGTTTGGCGTTGCTGATTACAGCCACTGCCCGTGGGTGAGTTCTTTATCTTCGCGCTTTTATCACACTCCTCTGCAGTAGCTGGGCATCCTTTGCTCTCAAGTGAGGGACCGTGCGAGGCTCTGTCACTGCAGGGCACGTGACGCTGCTATCTGTGGAGAATTGCAGCTTCCACGAGCTGCCTCTGGGCCCAGAAAAAGGGGGCCTTGAGCTACCACGGGGACTTAGTCATCGCTGCAGCACGGGCGCTGCGTAAATCGGGGCTTTAGAGCTAAGAAACAGGAATGTTCTCGTTTATTTGGGGCTCCGAAACAGCTGCCTCCCAGCGAGGTGGTGTTTTAGGCTGCCACTTGTACTGCTCCTTTCCCGGCTGTGATTGCATTCCCGTGCCCCTCGGGAATGACGTGGGAAGGGGCAGCAGCCTGAATGGTTTCTCCCGTAAAAAGAAAGGTTTTGGGGTGCGAGATTGTCCCCCCCTTTCTCCCAGCCCGCGGAGCCCGAGGGTTTGGCTCTGCGCGGTGCGATTTGCAAACGTCTTCCTGCCGCACAGGAACCGAGGGGCAACTTCTGCTTTGGCGAAAACACTAAATGTCCTAATAGCGAATTTCAGTAGAAACACTGATGCGGTTTTGCTGGTTTTGGGGGGTGAAATGTGAAGACAGAAGAGTGGAAACAAAGTGTTTCAGGGCTGGGTAGTCCCGGTGCGGGGGGATTAAGCCCGGCAGCAGGGCCCGCTTTATGGAGCGCAGCCTGGTGCCGCGGTGACGTTTTGCTGTCGCTGTCACCTGCGGCCGCTCCTTGCGGCCTCGGGTTCCTCGAGCGAAAGGTGCCGGCGGCGGCCGCCGGGGGGGAGGCGAAACGGGGTGTTTCCGGCCGCCCGCACCTGCGGGAAGAGGAGGAGGAGGAGGAGCCGGGAGGCGGCGCGAAGGCCAGCGGGCGCCGGGCAGCGCGGCCGCAGCGGCCGCTCGCCATGGAGCGCGGCGGCGCCGCCGGCATGAAGTTCAGCGCCCGCGCCGAGGTGAGCAGCGCCCCGCGGGTTTAAGTCGAGCTTAAGCGCGGGCTTGTTGGGCGGGAGGTGACGGGAGCGGCTGAAGAACAACCAAGGAACAGCCGGGGGACGTTGTGGGTGACGGTGTCTTGGCGGAGCTTGCCTGCGCCCGACGCCGTCCTGTCCTCCCCGTGCCGAAGCTGCGCGGGGATTTGGGAGCGAATCCCAAGGAAGCGGCCGCTGCTCGCGCCGGTTTTCCCGCTGTTCCTGCCAAAGGAATCAGGAAGCGTCGCGAGCCGGCGGCCACCGCCGCGTGGGACCTTTGCTCTGCAAACAAAGCATCGCTCCCTGCGGCTCCCCGGGAACACAGGGAGCGCCGGGAGCCAAAGGTTCTGGCCCGGCCCACGAGGGAACGGGCCCTTTGCGGAGCCGCCAGCTCCGCTCAGCTCCCTGGGCACAATTTGGTTGTTTGGGCAGGACTCGGTGTCCTGAGAAAGGTTGTGACCAGGCTGTTTACATCCACGGAGTGTCCCATTCCCGGTCTTTGGGAAGAGCAGTGCCATAGGGATGGGTTTGTGGTTTATGGCTGCGCGTGGTGGGCATGGGAAGTGGGTTTAATTCCCATTTCCGTCCCCTTGCTGGGAATCACCAAGACTTTTACAGCGCGAGTTTCGGCGGCGGCGGAAGCGGAGCGGTGGATCCGGGGCCCGGCCTGGGCAAACATTAACTTAGTCGCTTCTCTCATCAACAGAAGGGATTTCGGTTTCTCCTATGAGTCAGGACGGGCACGGGGTGAGCGGGCGCTGCCGAGAAGGGAGCCGAGGACCTGGGCTAGGCCTGCGTGTCCCGGTCCCTGCTCCCTATTCCCTTTTTTGGTTGGAGGCCGGCGCTTTATAGCCCGATTGCCCTTAATAAGGAACTGAAGCGGGGAAATAAAACGCGGGCCGAGTCGCTGCAGGGCTTTACAACCCACCTCGGAGCACAACTTCCGTGCAAAGTAGGCCGGTCCCTGCTCTTCTTATCGGGAGTTTCTGAGTTTATTCTCTGGAGCCTCCGCTGATCCCTTTCTGAAACAGTCCCGGGGGGTTCAGCTGCAGCTCGGGCTGCTCAGAGGTTGTTTTCATGGGGATCTTCGTGGAGCCGCCGTTGGTTTTCGGGATAATCCGGGAGGTTTCGGGCCAGTGTTTGGAAAAGAGAAGTTCAAGCCATGCCAACGTGGAAGGTCCAAATATCCCCAAGGTCCTGGTGCTCCCCAATGCGGCAGCCCTGGAAACCTTCATCCCGAGGAGGCCTCCGTCGCCGCGGGACGTTCCCGCTTTCCAGCAAGGCGCTTCCAGCTCCGAATGTGCCGCGGCAGTTCCCACCCCGCTGGGTACCCGCCGCCTTTCCCGCTGACGGGATTAGTCACTTGGGCAGCTTCTGGTTTGTCCAGTCGGGCAGATTATCCCGTCTAAAAATATATAGTGTGTCTGAGGAAGCTCCTTTAGGCGCAGGATCTGCTCCAAGGAGAGAGACCCCCAAGCACTCCGTACATCCGTGCGCGCCTGCTCCTTTTCCAAGTTTCCCCTCTAGTGTTTTCCAGCATCCTGGGCACTTGTTGCTGGGGAAAGCTGCTCCCTTTGGTCCTGATCCTGAAACCTTGGCTGCTTGCAAGGAAAACAGAGCGTGAGGGGGAGATCCCGAGCTCGTTGCGGGTGAGGCCGGAGGCCAGAGGGGCCCGAGGACGTCGCGGAGCCCGTGACTAACACGGGGGGAGTATCGGGAAGGCTCTTTCACCTCCTCGTGTTTATTGGAAGCCTTTTCCTGGAGTGGGATGGGAGGCTCAGACCTTGAGTCACCTTGTGCTGGCAACCGGTTCCTGGAGAGTCCTGGGATGCGGGAAAGGCGCTTGGAAGTGCGCGGTCGGAGGGGATAGGGAGCCCGGCTGCTCCTTGCCCAAATCCATCTTTTGGTTCCCTCCTTCCTGGTCGAATCCCATTCATTGCACTGGGAGGAGCTTTCCCTTTGCCAAGACGCAGCCAGTAGCTCTAAGAGGGGGGCAAGAGGAGGCGCAGCCCCGAGCTGTGGGCACCACGCATTGCCCAGTGCATTCCCCAATACTGTTTCCTGGGAAAAACGCCGGCACATCTCCGAGTTCCGGGCGGGAAGGCTGGAAAAGCTGTTGCTTTGTGAGTGAACACGTCGTGTCAGCCCCGGGGCTGCTTCCCTGTGCAGGTGTCAGGCAAATAAAGCACCTTTCTCTTGCAAACTGGCTCTGCAGGCGGTGCTGGCGGTCGGATTGTTCCCTTTTCTGGGCTGGATAAGGAAGGAGCCTGAGCCCAGGGATGTCTTGAATGTCCTGGAAACCCATGGGAGCCACGTGGTTCTTCTGAATGTGCAAAGATGGGGAGCTGAATTTAAGGCGATGCTACGTTTGAATCCACAATTCCTTGAGTGAAGTTTCCTTGGTTCAGGGAAAATGTGCAGACTAAAATGCCCCTTTAATCCTGAGGGCCTTTTATTAAGCGGGGGCAGAGGCTCAAGGCTGCAAAGTCCCCTGTGAATGGGGCGTGAGGTGCCTCCCTTTCTGCTGCAAAGGGCCCCGGGCCCCTCCTTAAGGGAGGATATTCCTGGAGATGGGAGCAAAGGAGGTGGGAGCAAAGGGAAGCGAAGGCCTTGCCTGGGTTTGAACAGTTTGGGTACCCGGCGCTGCTCCTGTCCAAGTCCTTTGGAAGCGACTTCTTGGGCTGCCCTTTCCCTGGCTCTGCTCTCTCCTAGGACATGAACACGCTGGAGGAAGGCGTGGAGTTCCTGCCCGCCATGAACTCCAAGAAGGTGGAGAAGCGCGGCCCGAAGCGAGCGGTCGTCATCGGCGTCGCGCTCGCCCTCTTCCTCCTCGCCTCCCTCGGCGCCGGCCTCCTCGTTTGGCACTTCAAATGTGAGTGTTGGGGTCCCGTCTCACCCTGCCCCATCGCTGTGGGGCAGCGGGTGACAGCGCCGTCCCCTTGCAGACAGGAACGTGCCCGTGCGGAAGGTTTTCAACGGCAACTTGCGGATTCTCAACCAGGGCTTCCTCGACGCCTACGAGAACTCCAGCTCGCCCGAGTTCACCGCGCTCGCCCAGAAGGTGAAGAGCACGGTAAGAAGCCCCAGGGTCCTTTCCATGGGGGAGTTTGCAAGAGCTGGGGGTCTTGGGTGACTTTCCCGGCTTCCCGCGGTGCCTTTGGCCACCCTTCCAACTCCTTTCAGGTGGAGGAGATCTACGGCAGCCACCCTGACATCGGGCCCTACCACAAGGAGACGGTCATAACTGCGTTCAGGTGAGCGCGGCGTGGCACCGACCACGGCCGGGGGCAGAGGAGGAGGATGGCGGGAGGCTCAGCCGATGGAGACCCTCTTTCCTGGACCTCTGGGTGCAGCTCCGTAGCCATCCCGAGCTGTGTGGTGAAGGGTGGGCAGGGAGAAGCTGTGGCCCAGCAGAGTCCACAAAACGCTGCCCAGGGTTTTTGCAGCTTGTTTAGTTCATGGTTGACCCTGTTCCTTCGCCGTGGCCTCTGTCTATAAATGGCTTTTCGGGAAGCTCTCCGTGTGTGGCGCGGTCTCACGCGCTGCGTCCCGCGCAGCGAAGGCAGCGTCATCGCCTACTACTGGTCGGAGTTCGTGGTGCCCGCCTACCGCGAGGAGCAGCTCGACAGGGCCATGGCCGAGCGGCAGAACCTGGTGCAGCGGCTCAGCCCGCGCCTCCGCCAGCCCTCGCTGCGCGTCGAGGAGGTCGTCGCTTTCCGTGAGTGCTGCGGGGAACTTGGGGGGCCTCGGCGGCGCCCCCCGAGGCCTCTCAGCACCTCTCTTTCCTCCTGCAGCTGTGGATCCCACCATTGCTCGTTCCGCTCGAGACAGTACGTACGGTTCGAGGGGCCTCCTTGCCCCTCTGTCCTCCGCTCCTTCCCTCGGAGGAAGGGCTGCTCCTCCTCCTCCTCCCCGCTAACTGCTGGCCGTTCCCCCGGGCAGACAGCTGCATTTTCGCCCTGCACGCCAAGGAAGGGGAGGTGACGAGCTTCGCCACGCCGGGCTTCCCCAACAGGCCCTACCCCAACCACGCGCTCTGCTACTGGGCCCTGCGCGCCGACGCCGGCCGCGTCATCAGCCTGACCTTCCGCACGCTCGACCTGGAGCAGTGCGCCGACGGCAGCGACTACGTCAAGGTCTACAACTCGCTGAGCCCCGTGGAGCACGACGCCATGGTGAGGTGAGGCCCCCTCGTCATGGCCATCCCTCTCCCTTGGGAGATCACATGGGATGCAGAGAGGTTCCTCCGCCAGGGAGGAAATTCCTGCTGGGAATGGGGCTCATGTCGCTCTCTCTGCGGTTGTTTCTAATGGTTTTTGTCCCGTCCTTTTCCCAGGCTCTGCGGGAATTACGCCCCTTCCTACAACCTGACCTTCTTGTCCTCCCAGAACGTCATGCTCGTCACGCTGGTCACCAACAAGGAGGGGAGGTTCCCGGGCTTTAAGGCCGAGTTCTTCCAGCTCCCAAAGATGAAAGGTGAGTGGGGGCCTTGGCTGCTTTCCACTCCTGCCGTGGCCAGGGGAGCTCCAGCTGCGTTCGGCTCCATGGGGACGTTTCCAAGCCTTGGAGACCTGGGAACAGGTTCAGCTCCCAACCTGTTCCCATCTTCCTGCTCGTGCTGCAGCCTGTGGTGGGAGCCTGAGAGGAGAGAGCGGCACCTTCACCACTCCCTACTACCCGGCCCACTACCCGCCGGCCACCGACTGCGTCTGGGACATCGAGGTGAGCGCCGGGGCCCTCTCTGCGCCTCGGTCACTCCGACACGGCGCCCTCGGAGTCACTCTGTCACTGCCCCGCGCAGGTCCCCTCCGAGAAGAATGTGAAGGTGCGTTTCAACATGTTCTTCGTGCTGGAGCCGGACATCCCCATGAGCTCCTGCACCAAGGACTACGTGGCCATCAACGGCACCAGGTGAGGAGCAGCGAGCAGGCGGCCAGGGTGCTCAGGGACGTGATGGTGGCCCTCAAAGGACGGGGCGGTGGCTGCTGGGGATGCCATCGTCCTCCTCGCTGCCCTCCCTCCCTGCAGGTACTGCAGGGAGCTCTCCCAGTTCGTGGTGGCCAGCGGCAGCAGCAGGATGCAGGTCCGCTTCCACTCGGACGCATCCTACACGGACACCGGCTTCTCCGCCGAGTACCTGTCCTACGACTCCAGCGACCGTGAGTTGGCACCTGCAGCCCCACGGGAGGGGAATCGTTTTACTCGGCTCTGCAACGGAGCTGAGAACTGGGTGGGGGGCTCCTGGCGCTGCTGCCCCTGGGTGTGGGGCCGCCGCGATGGCTCAGGGTTCCTCTCTTCCTCTTCCTCCTCCTCAGCCTGCCCGGGCAAGTTCGCCTGCAACACGGGCCGCTGCATCGACCGCGCCATGCGCTGCGACGGCTGGCTCGACTGCACGGACGGCAGCGACGAGCGGGGCTGCAGTAAGTGCCCCCCTTTTCCTGCTCGGGTGGGGAGCCCCGATGTCCCCCGCTTTGCGCTGACCTCTGGGTGTCCCCCGCGGCGGCAGCGTGCACGGAGCAGCAGTTCCGCTGCCACAACGGCTGGTGCAAGCCCAAGTTCTGGGTGTGCGACAACGTGAACGACTGCGGCGACAACAGCGACGAGCTGCAGTGCAGTGAGTGGGGCCGCCCCCGCGCGCGCGCCCGCCGCTCCCGGCCGCCTCTCACGGGCCGCCCCGTCCGCAGGCTGCCCCGAGGGGAGCTTCAAGTGCGACAACGGCAAGTGCGTGGCCGGCGCGCAGAGGTGCGACGGCCGCGACGACTGCGGCGACGGCAGCGACGAGGGCACCTGCAGCAGGGGTGAGCGCGGGCGCCCGGGGACGAGGCCGCTCGAGCACTGCGGCCTCCCCGGTGCTGACCCTTGTCCCCGCTTTGGTGACAGCCCCTGTCACGGTGGCCTGCAAGGACTACACGTACAAGTGCCGCAGCGGGACCTGCATCAGCAAGCAGAACCCCGAGTGCGACGGCGAGCAGGACTGCACCGACGGCTCCGATGAGGACAACTGCAGTGAGTAGCCCAGTGAGGCGGGCGCCTTCCCGAGCATGGGATTTTTGGGGGGGCTTAGAGGGGTGCCATGGGCTCTGTTGCAATTCCCGAGCGGAGCGTTGCCGTTCCTAGACTGCGGCCTGCGCTCCTACGTCAAGAAGTCACGCATTGTGGGCGGGCAGAACTCGGACGAGGGCGAGTGGCCGTGGCAGGTGAGCCTGCACGTCAAGGGCCAGGGCCACGTGTGCGGCGCCTCGCTGATCTCGGAGCGCTGGCTCGTCTCGGCGGCGCACTGCTTCGGCTACCTGCAGGGCATC